ATCGCCGACCCGGAAAACCATGAATCACTGAATGGTCTCGAAATTGAGCTCGCCGATCGTGAGCGCACCCTCGCGGAATCCACGGGTGAGATTGCAGTACTTCGGAGCCAAAGTGCTCAGTTGGAATCCAAAGTAGAGAGCCTTAGGGCCAATGTCCGACTGGAGTACCAGGCTCGCGAACGAGATACCCTGGACAACAATGTAGAACTGAGAGAGGTGAAATTTCAGCGTAACACTCTGCAAAGGCAGGTCGTTGATTTGAAAGGGAACATATCCGAGCTTGAACAAAGGATCAAGGAATACAAGAATGGACTTAGAACCAGGTATGGTGATCAAGATCCCAACCTGATAGTTCCTGAGGTAGCCACCCTACGAGTTCAATTGGATCGTAAGAACAGAGAGCTTACTGCGATTACTGAGCAGGAGGAAAATAGGCTTAAGCATTGCGAGGATGAAATGAAGAATGCCATTCATCAAGAGAAAATGGCTTTCTATGACCTTCTGAACATGTCCAACGATGTGAAGCTACTCAAGTCAGAACGAGACAGTCTTCGATCCGAAATGAGGGGGCCGCCAGGTTTGAGCTTTCCCAACATCTAAACACCTGGAAATTCTACAGGGTTCTCAGAGAGCAGCACTATCAATAGCCTTAGGGCTGAATTGAATGAGAAGCAATCGAGAATGATCAAAGAACGAGAAGAGTGCAGTAAAAAGAGGCTGAAGGAAATTGATGAAAGCAACATGTATATTGAAGCGGAACAACGAGCCGACTATCAAACCGGCAGGGCCAACAAGTATCGAGATCGATCGGATGAATATCAAGTATGGTATGAGCAAGAGGAACAGTTAGCCGTCGAGGAAGAAGCCGAGGCCAGAGCAGCTACATCTGAGCAATCATCGGCCAAGGTGACCAGGAAAGAAGCAGACAAGATTGAAATTCGTGATTGGCCGAAGTTGAATGATATCAATGTTTGGAAATCAAGTGTCGTTCAAGCGGTTTACGCCGCATCGGCGGATGACAACCTCCAGAAATGGAGTGATTGGTTGAAACCAGCCCTTGAACGCATGCCCGACATGAATCTACTATCCAGTTCGGGTGGCAAGGAATTCCAAGCCATTGATGCCAAACTATCGATTGCACTTCAGAAAATCATAAATGGTGCCAGAGAAGCCGGCAGGGATGTAGCAATGCAATTGAGATTGTTGACGAATTCTCGTGGTGAAAACACTCAATTTGTTATGGGAAGAGAGATTTTAGCCATGATTTGGAAAGTTTCAGGACTTCTTCAAAGGATGAAACTCTATTCAATGCTGAGAACCTCCACAGCTTGAACTTCCCAGGCGACAACAAATTGGATGAATTCTATCAAAGATGGAGGGAGATCATTGGAGGCATGAAACCTCAAGATGTACCATCCAAGGAGACCCTTCGTGATAGCTTAGTGAGAAAACTAAAATCGTCCAATAGGTTGCAGCTTGATTTGAAGTTCTATGATCACATGGATGATGGAGATCCCAACAAAACTTATGAGTACGTTGAAAGGATCATCACTAGGGCTATTGCGAGACAAAGGGAAGAAAAGAACATCGCTGCAAAGGACAATTTCGCGAAGGAATTCCAGTTTGGCGGAAAAGTGGCTATTCCGGCAGCAGCTAGCACCACCGCGTCTAGCACAAAGGAAGACAAGTCATCAAAGAGCGAAAAAGGTATCGAAAAGAAAGATAACAAAGAAAAGAAAGAAAAGAAAGTCAAAAAGGAAAGAGAGTCGAGTGCTGCACCCGTACTTCCACTCGCAAACTCCGCGCCAGCATAGCGTCGATGGCAAGACGAAGAAAGGTAAGGGAAAAGGAAGCAATAGATCTCGCTCGCCTGCAAACATCGACAAGAAGAAGATTCCTTGTTCGTTCTATTTCAACAAGAAAGATTGCAAGAAAGGGAAAGACTGTCCGTATTCTCTCTCTCTCTCTCTAAGCCACCTATCCATCTAATGGACGATCTTTCTGCTTATCCGCTGAAATATCTATTTGTGTATCTTAGCCTTTACCTCACTCCTTTCTATCTATGTATCCGCTGTTCTATTTCTGTGACTGTCCGTCAACCTGTGCACCTATCTGTTTGAGTCTTGGACCCTCGCGCGCATGGTTCCACACTGATCCTGGTTGGTCGGTACTGCGCCCATGGTCATCGCTCCTGTCGCCAGACCATGGTCATCTTCGAGATGAGCAACAGCGCCTATGAGGCATGGGAAGATCGGGTAGTGGGAAGATGGGAAGATCTGAGTCGGGCATTATGTGCGCCCCGCATGAATTGTCTGATTGACGCGGGCATCTTTTGACACTAACCGGCTAGCGGCGGCCAAATCAGAATTGACATCCCACAGTGTTCATGGCGCAAGTGGCAAGTTCTTAGCAAAGCGGTCTTGCGTGCAGGACACCTACACAACCAAGTTAGACAAAACCAAGATCACCCCAGAGCAGCAACGGAAAGCTCCTTGGATTGGTTTCAGCTGGTGAACTGGCTCTACTGGGTGGATGTGGTCAGCTGACTATTCTAGTGGAACGTGGTCCTTTTGCGAAGTACATTTCAGTAATTATGTTCATTTCGACGGTTTGGCAATGCCATGTCATGTACCTATCTTGTCCATCATTTACTGATGTATGTGCGCACATCATTGCACACTGCATCACCGGAGTTTTGGGTGAACTTGGCGAGCTACCAGCCAAAACCAGCACCTCGACCCAGGCGGATCTAATTGCCAAAGAGATTGAGAATGGAGAGATACTGTGCTTGAATTAGCTTGAGAATGGAGAGTGCGTGGCTGGCGGTCTGGCGAATGGGATTTATTTTGGTCTTGGTTGGTTCGATTTATTGTCCGTGTTCAATTTCAAGTGGGATGTGGGCATGTAGCCCATGTCCGCATATAGCCCGGCAGCTCCATTGCATCATTTGCAACGTTTCTGGAATCCATTGCTTGAAAAAATTTTCCTCCAATTGTGTTGGAGCAGGCAACCTGTTCCCCCCATGGAAGGGCACCTTGGACCTCAGTCATTTTTTTGACAACATTCTTGACGAGGTAACAACACGTCGCTTGCATGAAGACATCGCAACATGCGAGCAGCTGAGGAACTACAGCGGTGCAGATGCTGGAGACTCGGGTGTTCTGAGTCTGTGGCACTGTAGTGTGCATTGGCAAATGAGTACTGTATTACATGTGCACGGATTCTGTAGTATGGTACGTGTGACCGGCATGTGACGGGCCATGGGGATCTAGACCGCATGGATCAGTGTCCTGCCTGAATTCCACCACCAGCCGCTTGCGCGAACCCGCTGCAGCCGCGTGTTTCCATGCGGGTGCATGATACGTAGCATCGGTGATAATCTTGATCCCTGAGACTCATGCATGAGGATTGAAATGAAAAAGCCAAACGGAATGATTTTGACCAACAAACATTGCAATGCAACATCGAACTCCGAAAGGCAAACCGGAACCTTCCACAAGAAGTGGGAAAAGAACTGGTGCAAACAGCTGGGCTCCTTCGCCAAACCAAATCCTGTCTCCGAAAGTCCTGCCTCCGTTCTTGACCTGGTGGGGGAAGGCCGGGGGAAGGCACCTTCTGACATCTACTCATTCATGACTTGAGGATATGGCAAGATGCATTTCGCATGGCAGGCGCAGTACAAGAGACATGTTCATCAGAGCTGTTAGGAGGTCCGGGCGCTGATTTCCTGAGAGGGGTTGCATTTTGGAACATCACATCTTCAGTTTTTGGAAGATGATTTTGCGTGACAGGCGCGGCACTTCGTATGACATGGCATCACAATGGCATCACATTTTCGTGGCATGCGCAGCACTTTAGACAGATGGAGTGGAAAAACCGCAAAACGCATTGGCACGAGGCCGTCAGCTCTGCACTCCACTTTCCATTTTGGAAGGACGTCTCGCAGAATTGCTTCGTTCTTGATGTTGTCAACATAAAAACATGAGGAAGTCTCGCAGAATTGTTGCGTTTTTGACGTTGTCAAGTGCAAAAATTGAGGAAGTCTCGCAGAATTGCTGCGTTTTTTGATGTTGTCAAGTTCAAAAATTGAGGAAGTCTCGCAGAATAGCTTCGCTTTTCAAGCTTGCAGGTAGACAGACAGACAGACAAACAGACAGACAGACAGACAGATAGATAGATAAATAAGAAAGAAAGATAGATAGATAGATAAGGTAGATAGGCAACTACAACTACCACTTCTACTACTACTACTACTACTACTACTACTACTACTACTACTACTACTACTACTACTACTACTACTACTACTACTACAACACTCCATTACACTACATTACGCTACATTACGCTGCACTACACTAACTACACTGCAGCACACTACAACTAATTACAAACATACATGCAGCTACAACTACTACACTACATTACACAACGCTACACTAATTACATTACATTACGCTACATCTACAACTGCAACTACAGTTACAACTACCACTACATTGCACTACGCTACACTACACTCATTACAATACACTACAACGACACTACTTTACACTACACTAAACTAGGCTACACTACACTATAGCACACTGCAGTACACAACACTACAGTACACTACAAGACACTACAATATACTACACTAATACTACAACTGCAACTTCAACAACTGCAACTACACTACACTAATTACATCACATTAGAACTACAACTTACAACTACAACTACAACTACACTACAACTACAACTACAACTGCGCCACACTACATCCAGCAGTTGTGGTAAGGGGACCACTGCAACCATTGCAACCATTCCAAAAAACACATCTCCAACCACCTGTTGGTCCATCAGTGGATTCGCTCTGCCACCCGTGATTCACAACAACCAACTTCTCCTTTAGGTTTCGATAAAAAAAACTTCCGCCACCGCCTTGTGCTGTACTACTGGTGCATATATACAGTAGAAAATAATCCACCTTTACCTCTGGTCTTGTGGCATTGCAGGAAACAACAGCTACTGCAACCAAGACGACCCGCTGGATCTGTGGCTCTCCCATGAAGCCAAGCAGATTGTGCTGATCGATGGAGACAGCTACCGTCTTAAGCAAGCGATCAAGAAGGTGGATCGAACCCTTCGGGAAACCTTTCGAAATATGGGGGAGATGCCAAGTTTGAGATGTTTCTGTTGCTGAAATGCATTCACTGATGGGTTTATGCTGGACAATGGACATACTTTAAATCTATAGTTGGATTTTGTAATCTGACATGGCCATGAAAAAGGCGATGGCTATGGCTAGGTCGTTGGGGTCATGATGGACACAAAGTTGCATGTCTTTGGGGCCGCATTGTGAATAAGTTCAAGACCAGTCGGAAGGGGTTGAGTAGGGTATAATGGTACAACATGGTACAACCAAGAAATGTGGAGAGGGAAAACATATCTGCACGCTCTTCACTTGGTAAAACTTGGTGAAGCGGTCAAAGTGTTTCCTGTTTTTGCCATAGATGGGGTTAACAGATCGACTTGACACTGGGCACCTCACTTTGTATAAATATATGTGTCTGTATATGTAAACAACCTATGTGTATATGTGAATAACATCTGTACATGAAGTATACAAGCGTACGTAGATATATCATGATATATCACATCTGATTGAAAAAACATGACCAATCCTTACTTACACATGCTGATAATGTGTATCTACACATAGACGGGGAAACCTGTGATCCATGCGACGCCAGGCCATGACCAAACGCCTTAACCAGGAAGACATGGAGGTGCTCACGCTGAACCAGGCACCACGGCTTCTTGCGCTTGGGTGCAGGGAAGGTTCGAAGTGAGTGGAGATGGGAATGGGTCGAAATTCAAGGCCTGCTTGGTGGCTCATCCCACGAATCCTAAGTACGTGAAATATCCCTGGTTCATGTGGGATAAGTAGGGTTAATACACTTGCAACTGGGGTTATAAGCCATTTACCAAGTGGGATGAACCACCAAGTGGGGGACCACAGATGGTTTCGTCTATTTTTTGTATGCACCATCTCATTGTTGGGGCAATTTTGACCCATACCCAAACTGTTGGGGGGGGTTCCTAAAATGAAGATACACTTGGATATAATAGGAATATACCGGAATGAGAAGGAAGAATGGGAACCACGTTCCAGTGATTTACAACATGAGTGTGGGTGTCTAACAACGAGGTACTTGGAGGTGATTATACTGATTATACATCATTATCATGAATTATAATGGTTTGTACATAGAGGATGATTAGGATACCCTCTGGTAAACAAACATAACTATGGAAAATCACCATGTTATAGCTGGGTAAATCAACTATAAATTGCAATTTTCAATAGCTATGTTAGTTTACTGGAGGGTAATTAGATTATAGGATATTACAAGACTTTCAAACACGGGATGTAACTCGCTGAAATATGGATACGATTGGTGAATTCAACGGTATCACATTGGAATTTTCCTCTGGATGTGGTCAATTAGACGCACTGGTTAAGCTCACCATAGATGATGTTGAAAGGAAAATCATTCCCACAGGTCAACGATTATGGTAGATACTGTGGATGGTTGCGAAATCCTGCACCAGTTGCTAGATGGTTTATGCCATTATAATCTCCTCAAATTTTTGCAGTGTTGTAGAGTTACCACTAGTTACCAACTGGTGATTCGGATTTCGCAACCATCCACAGTATGTCTTGCACTAGTTCACCGGCTTTTCACATAAAGCAACTTCGCAAACTGCGACACCATCCCGACACACCTTAGTGAGATGGTGGTTTTGGGAGACCCTTTAGGGATCATGGGGCGTGTTTGATGTCTACCGTAGGGTGGGAAACTCTGGGAATGAAAAGCGTCAACATATATTTTTGTATGTTTGGTGAATTTCTGCGCGTTTGCTCAGAGTCATTTTGTCCTGTAAAAATGAATTAAACATAGAATCACGAAGTTGAGTGGAGAGTCATCGGAAAAGACATGCAAGTTACCCGCTGCATGGATAATATTCAAATTGGCAATCACTAATAATCACCGAAAATCACTAATAATCACAAAAAATATCTAATTGATAATCTCTGAAATTGGCAATCACGAAGAATTATCAAAATCCCTCATAGTCACTATTCAGAAGAATGTTTCCACCATTTTCCACGTATCCACGAAGTGTTTCCTATGCGCCAAGGCCCTTACCCCTTTGGATGTGGAGGCTGGGAATATCATGAGATAATCCACTAACTGGGATATAATCGGGAAATTGATGATTATAAGATATTATAAGAATATATGGGAATATTTTATGTTTATATATATATATTTATTTATATAACCAAATGGGATATAGTGGCATTTTGTTTTTTAGGTCACTCAACTGGATGGGTAGAAACTAATCCTGACTAGTCTTTTGGTATCAATGGGATTATCTATGTCAATGTTCACCAGCTAAGAATTTATTTTTTTGCAGGGTATGTAAGATAGGCGATGTAATTTGGAAATTGATGATTTTTGGGGACATCATCTTTTCAGCGCTTGCTAGGCAGGCATCTCGCATGTAGGTTTGAAGACCGTCTTCCTTTTGCTGATCTATTGGGGTTCCCCATTGTGAGAAAGATTACAGTCCATATCTAACATTATATGGTTAATAGTGGTTAATAGTGGTTAATAGTGATTTATAGTGGTTAATGATATATCTGGTTGGTGGTTTGGAACCATGGAATTTTATGACTTTCCATTCAGTTGGGAATGGAATAATCATCCCAACTGACGAAGTCCATGATCTTTCAGAGGGGTAGGTCATCCACCAACCAGAATGTAATAAATCCCCATATCCCATGATATTCCCATGATATCCTCATCTTTGTCTCTACCATTAATTCATCACCAGAGAGTCCCAGAATTTCATGCTTAAATCACCATTTTTCGATGTTTAATATGCGTCAAAAATCTTCACTTCAGGGGATGTGCAGGCGAAATCCTGCACCACCGTTTTCCAACGGTCGTGAACATGGCATGGTACTCCAGGAGTTCGATTCCACAAGAAACTCGTTTTGGAAATCCCATGGGTTTTTCCCAGAACATGATCTACGTTCATGGTGGACTTTCCATATGTTAGTTTGCAGATTTTGACCATAGTTACGAGATTTTCAAGCATTCTCCAGATATTGAAGTGGTAGATCCTGGCAGGCGGGCGTGATGGATGAGTTGCTCGAAAGCTTTGATCACGAGGCGCGAAGATGGAAAGGGTGGAGCTGAGCGCGGGGAGCGCTTTAAGGATTAAACCATCGCATAGTTACCCTGTGGTAAAACTCACAGTTTGCTATGGAAAATCACCACTCTTGGTACATCAACGAACTAAATGGGTCAATATGGGTCGTTTTCAATAGCTATATTAGATTACCATAAGGTAAATGACTAGAACCATCTGGGATGGGTCAAAACCTTAAAAAATCATATTTCTTGGGGTTTATGCCCATCCATTAACCATCTGACTTTTATGGTACCAGGGTTGAGTGCCAGGCTAAGAAGACTCATCGACTTATCGCCTATTTAATGCTGCAATTCAATGGGATCTACATGTTGAACTTATTAATGGCAATATTAATGGGTAATTCAATAGCTATTTTAATCAACTATAAATTGCCATGTTGTTAATTTAAAATAGCTATTGAAAATGGCCATAGAAATAGTTGATTCACCCAGCACAGTTTTCCGTCACTGGAATCTAAGGTTTATCCATGGGGAATCATCGAATCATCCCCAATTCGTTCTATTCAGCCAGGGGAATCCTTGCTTGATACAGTGCAAATAATGAGTATCGGATTTGATAGTTTAAAATATGTTTAACCTAATGACATGTTCGGACATTATATAATATCATTAAAGTATTCATAGATGTCACAGGTGTTGGTTCCTTCAAGTATAAGTTCATGTCAATATAATCTTGGAATATTGCTATATGATACTAATATCGAATCATTGTCATCAACATAATATTAATATTATTAATAGTGAACATCATATTTATGTGATGTTCAACATGTGATAGCACATTGGTTATACAGTCAATATAATGAGATAATGCCATAATCTCAAGAATATAACAATCAATGCTGATCATATTCAGTCAAGGGATAAAGGGGTCAAAGAATGTGTTGTTTGTAGGACATATCTTATTTCGATATCAGTGTTTTATTTTTTTTCGGGATCTGGAATAGTTTTTTTGATTCCTCACTCTTGAGTCAACATATGGTTCCAGATCAATTTTTATCATCCATTTACCAGCTATTCTGGTGTTCATTCCACCAATATTCGTAGCAATAGCTTTTGACTCATCACCATATATGAGACAAAAGGTTTAACCGCCACAAATGGTGATTTACTAAATTTGGAATCATGAGTACTCAATGATGATTTCAGTCAATATATATATATATATGTATGTGACATGTGTGTGACATCTTGTGGTGACTACTTCCAACATATATGACACCGGTTGGTGGCTTGGAACATGAACCATAGATAAACCATAGATAAATCACTATGTTTTTTTCAGGTAGATATGGTAGATCATCGATTTCTGTGGTTTCTATGGCTTCCATAGCTAGTATATTATTTCCAGGATCCCAAAATGGAGGTACTGTACCATATAAGGCCATAGAAATTGGGGGTATATCCCCTTACATGGCCCCTACATTGGCCTTATATATGGTAGGTACCTCCAAGTTAGGTTCCTGAAATGGCCATTGAATATATGACATCTTCAGACGAGTCGCTTCAGGTGGACATTTTGAAAATCGATGTGGACTCCTACGACTGCGCTTTGCTCCAAGCCCTCCTAGCCCGCAAGGCGCGCTTCGGTGCGGATGCTGCGGGTGGCGCTCCAAGCCTTGTCTGGGTAAGTTGCAGAACCCCTTGGGGAGGAGGAATAATCCCTATATGGTAAGGAACATGCTAAGGGGAATGGTAAAAAAATCCTATACAATTGATATGATGGGAATATAACGGGAATATGATAGGAATATAACGGGAATATGATGGGAATATAATGGGAATATCATGGGACTATAATGATAATATATACATATATATATATACGACCAACTGGGATTCACTGGGAATACAATTTGGGTAAATCATAATATTTCACTAACATGAATGGCACGGCCATTGATGATTCCTCTTACCATTATTCCCGAGGGAGGACCGTCAGCTCGTTATAATTTAGCCAGATTATTGGAATGGATGTTAAATGATGGAGAATTCCTTCAATGGATTATTCAAGTCGAACAACAAAGATATATTTAAAATAGCTATCGCCAGTAATGACTATAGAAATGGATTATACAATTCAACGACTATAGAAGTAGATTATGAGCTACCAATCGTTGGCTCAATTCAATGACTATAGAGATGGATTATTCAGTTCAATGACTATAGAAACGGATGACTTGATGGTAATTCAATGGATCCAATACTACAAAGGAGGGGTTGCTAGTCAAAATGGGAGCTGAACCAACAAAAACTGTAGCTTAAACAATCAAAATTTGGTTGAAGGGTTTGTTCTTGCCGATATATACTTTAGCATATGTTAACTAACGCAGTATCACGCAGTATCCTAATCTGTTTGTTGCTTCATGTATTACCTTTAAGGCAAGTGAGGAAAAAAATCCGTTGTCATCCCGAAGATGGATTGATGTTCACTACACAACTTGTTTTATTTGATTGATTTCTGAACATAATTATGGATGACAGTGTTCACTTTCTTTCGTTAAAAGTATGTTGTTTATTGTAATGATTTTTGGGATGGGAGCTGTAACATTACACTGCGTATTTGTTTGGTTTCTGGCATGGGAATTTGATGGGTGGAAACCCATGTATCGCAGTAAACATGGCCAGCCTTTTGAGATCCAACTCACTCGACTCCGGTTAGTAGTTTTACCTCTTATTGTCTGCATGTGTACAGTATATATAGACACACAAATACTTTTAAATATATATATATGTGTAATATTATAATGATGAACTGTTTACACTACAATACATATACATATGTATATTACATTATACATATACATATACATATACAGCTTTATATACAGCTTTATGGTCTATATATATATACATGTGTGTACTGTTGGTGGATGCTCTTCGTGAAGAAAATCGACCTCTCCAGCCGAGGTGAAAGCCTATGTCCTTGTGATGGAGTCACAGCCTTTGAGCCTTGGAACAGATAACTAGTGACACCAGGTATATCAAGTTATGAATTATATATATAGGTACATGTGTGAATGTAATGTATGTATGTATGTATGTATGTATGTATGTATGTATGTATGTATGTATGTATGTATGTATGTATGTATGTATGTATGTATGTATGTATGTATGTATGTATGTTGTATGTATGTTGTATGTATGTATGTAATTGTAATGTATGTAGGTATGTTATGTAGTAATGTATGTAATGTCTGTAATGTATGTATGTATGTATGTATGTATGTATGTATGTAGGATGTAGTAGTAGTAGTGTATGTATGTATGCTATGTATGTCTGTATGTTGTATGTATGTATGTATGATGTATGTAGGTATGTATGTATGATGTATGTATGTATGTATGTATGGGGGGTGTAAATTATGTATGTATGTATGTATGTATGTAATGTATGTAGTATGATGTATGTGTAGTAGTTGTCTGGTGTGTATGGATGGATGATGGATGTATGGGTGTGTATGTATTATGTATGTATTGTATGTATGTATGTATGTATGTATGTCTGTATGTATGTATTTTATGTTAGTATGTTGGCATGTATGTATGTATGTATGTATGTATGTATGTATCCATGTATCTATGTATCTATGTATGTATGTATGTATGTATGTATGTATGTATGTATGTATGTATGTATGTATGTATGTATGTATGTATGTATGTATGTATGTATGTATGTATGTATGTATGTATGTATGTATGTATGTATGTGTGTGTTGTATGTATGTATGTATGTATGTATGTATGTATGTATGTATGTATGTATGTATGTATGTATGTATGTATGTATGTATGTATGTATGTAAATATATATATAGACGTGTATGTATATATATATATATACGTGTATGTATATATATACATGTACATACACATATAGTCACATATACATATATACACTACATATATATATGATGAGACAAGAACACACTTGGAATATTCCCATAATAACATGAAATACATGAATGTTTAGACATTTGTATATCCTATATAGAAATATGTGTAGACATGAATACTTCACTCATCCAACAATCCTTGCCGGATAGCCTCACATGAGGAGATATGTTCAGAAACTGTAACAAGGAATAAGGATAATGATTCATATTTCAACGAGATATTTTAACGAATTGAGCATTTTTTAGCATACTCATGAGCAGACATCATTTTTACATCCTGGGATTTTACAGTTAAATTTGGATTCATTAACTCACAAGATGTGCTGGTTATGATGGATATAAACGGATAGCACACATATCTAATGATCGAAGGAAGTTTAGAAGTCAAACTTCCGACAATATGGACAGATGAAAAGCAGAGATGGGAAGAGTCAGCGAAGAGAAGAAGAAAGAAGATCAAAAAAGAGAAAGTCTCAGAAGAAAGAAGATGCAGATGCGAGAAAAGGTAGGAAAGTCGCGAAACACTGTGTTTTTCCAATGATTTGGGGCTCCCAGGGTCAAAAAGTAGGCTCGCTAGAGCGGCGGGTGCGGAGCCAGCTGGCCAGATGAGAGATGAAAAATTGCACGTCGTTGCGAAGCGAAGCACATTTCGAAGTCAAAATGTACACAACACACTATGCTCGGACCACTTTTGGAAGTTGAGATGTCGAAAAAGTGCACCTTGTTGTGGCGCGAAGCACATTTGCCAGTGAAATCCAGTGAAAAAGATAAAAACACCTCACGTTCAGAGCACTTTTCGAACTTGCGATGTCGAAAAAGTGCACGCCGTTGTGGCACGAAGCACATTTCGAAGTCAAAATGTACAAAACACACCAGGTTCGGACACTTTTGGAAGTTGAGATGTCAAAAAAGTGCACGCTGTTGTGGCGCGAAGCACATTTCGAAGTCAAAAGTGCAAAAAAACTGAGGGGGTTCGGAACACTTTTGGACGTTCAGATGTCGTTTTGCATGGCAGGCGCACGGGAGTGTGCACCTGAGCAAAACATGAGGGTTTTGTAGCATGTCCAAAAACGATGGCAGGCGTCGGACATTTGAAGAGGATCTGCAAAGATGCATTTTCCGTGGCAGGCGCAGTACAAGAGACATGTTCATCAGAGCTGTTAGGAGGTACGGGCGCTGATTTCCTGAGAGGGGTTGCATTTTGGAGCATTAAATCTGTAGGTTTGCTAAGGTGATTTTGCGTGACAGGTGCAGCACTTCGCATGACCTGGCATCACTTTTTCGTGGCAGGCGCAGTAATTTAGACAGGTGGAGTCGAAAAATCGCAAAACTTATTGGTACGAGGCCATCAGCTCTGCACTCAACTTTCCATTTTTGAAGGAAGTCTCGTTTTTGATGTTGTCAACTTCGAAAATTGAGGAAGTCTCGCAGAATTGTTTCGTTTTTGATGTTGTCAAGTTCCAAAATTGAGAAAGTCTCCCAGAATTGTTTCGTTTTTGACGTTGTCAAGTTCAAAAATTGAGGAAGTTTCGCAGAATTGCTGCGTTTTAAGCTTGCAGATTGCAGATTGCAGATTGCAGATAGATAGATAGATAGATAGGTAGGTAGATAGATAGATAGGTAGACAACTACAACAACTACTACAACTACACCACACTGCGCTACACTACGCTACACTACACTACAACTACACATGCAAATAAACTGTGCTACATTACACGACAGTAATTACACTACACTACAGTAAGTACATCTAATTACACTGCACTACACTAATTACACCACCACAACAACAACAACATCTACTACTACTACTACCACCACCACCACCACAGCTACAACTACAATTGCAACTCGACCGCATTACACTGCACTGCGCTAATTATACTGCAGCACACTACAACTATAAATACAAATGCGACCACAACTACATTACATTACACAACACTACACTACACTAATTACATTACATTACGCTACAACTACAACTGCAACTACAGTTGCAACTACCACTAAATTGCACTACACTATACTACAACTACAACTACACTACCTTACACTACACTACACTTTACCAAACTACAGTACACAACACTTCAGTACACTACAAGACACTACAATATACTACACTAATTACACCACACCACAACTACAACTGCAACTTCAACAACTGCAACTACACTAATTACATCACATTAGAACTACAACTCCACTACACTACATTACACTACGACTGCAGCTACAACTACAACTGCACTACACCACACTACATCCAGCAGTTGTGGTGAGGCGACCACTGCAATCATTGCAGCCATTCAAAAACACAACTCCAACCACCTTTCGGTCCATCAGTGAATTCGCTCTGCCATCCGTGATTTACAACAACCAACCTCTCCTATAGGTTTCCTATTCTGAAACTTCCGCCACCGCCTTGTGCGGCACTACTGGTAAACTAAATCCAGATAAATTCATCTAACTTTATCATGATCATCCAGATAAACGGATATAATCATGAAATTGTCATAATGGATCTAGGCTATAGTAATAGATATGTCATGGAATTTATCTAGATGAATTCGCATAAGGGGAATGACGATTAGAATTCAGGGAATCATCCCCAAATGGCCGCAAAATTCAGGATTTCTCATAGTGAATTTCTCTCAGCCAGATTTGTATATGACATGATATCAGCAACATACGTGGTTCATCCGAAGAAGTGACAGGGTTTTACTGTGTTTTACTGACGGAATGAAGTCACCACGAAGCAGAGTTCATGATCGGGTCACCGTTTGGGTTTTGAGCAGAAATCGGGATAAAACAGCAGCAGAGTGTGAAGAATTTCCCTGGGGGAGTTGACAAGAACACAGCCCACATGGATATCCAATGAGCGAAAATGTGAAATCTAAAGATGAAAATAGGGACTGGTAAGGCAGAGACGGCCAGCAGTGGTCGCGAAAAATTTTGGGGTCTTTGTAGAAACTGCCACATTTATCTTTAAAAAAAACTAAGGAAGTTGTTTCAAGCAGTTTGTGAGTGTTTGAAAGATAGCATGATCGGGGAATCTCGCCTACTTGCTGGGCCCATAGTCACTTTCGCATCAAGTGCAGCTGAACTCCCCTCCGCCGATCCCTGGTGCCAGATCCTAGCCGGAGGCACCATGGCTTTGTCAGCCCGTCGTTTGGACGAGCCACACCCAACCACCACCACCCCCCACAACCCATCACACGCCCCCAACCACCGTCCCAGCGGGCCCGTGGGCCAGCACTCATGGCAGCGATAGTGCTGGCCGAATTGGCAACTACATGTGGAGCGATGCGAAAAATCGATTGCCTGAAGAGGATCGAAGAGGCTCAAGTCGACAGTGCACCCTTCCAAACTGGCTCTCCAGTGCTTCATCCACCCAATTTTTGAAATGGGGATCCATTTCAACTTTGGAAGTAATACGAAAAACAAAGTAAAACAATTCGAACCATCATTTGCCACTACTTCAAATATGTGGTCTCCCCAGTTTTTTCCAACTTAGACATGGAAAACGCCACCATTTGTCAACCATATGGATTTCCCAGATCACCGGGAAAAGCCGCCATCAGGATCCCTCCACCCTTCAAGTTCGCACGAGCTTTTCATGGTGACGAGCCGCTTGAACAAGGCCTAGTTGGCTGGGAACCCTAGCGATAGATGGAGGTCGAAAGTGGTTGAGTGGTTGGGGAGAAAGGAGTGATGAATCCTGACAACACTGGTTTATTAAGTTTATTTGCGCTTGAAACTTTATTAGTCATCAATTTCCCTGGTCAAACATTGCCATCACATCACAGGGCTAAATCCCCAATTTGAAATGGCCCCATTTCATGCTGGGCATGTCAGGAGGTCTGTGGGATGACCTGACATCTGGCACACTAACCAGTATGTACTAGTGACTTTAGTACTCTCTTGTACACTAAATTGGCAATAAAATCCAGTACTTGAGCCGTGCCCAAAATGGTAGATTACATGTAGATTACATATTGTTTGTTTAAAACTTATCTAGCATACATGGAAATACAGTTTTAAATACATTTATACATGGACATATTGTATATTTAGGACATTCATGGACATACGAACTAAACCATCGATTTATGACGCCTTCAGTAGCGAATTTCGGGCATCCAATTGGATGCAGTTCACAAAGTTTACAACCAACAAACATGGTGAGATTTAGGTATAACCTTTGTATATAATGTCTGTTATATCATGTTATATAGATTAGATTACATTACATTAGATTAGATTAGATTAGATGAACTTATATAGATAGCTACATATAGATTAACTAAGTGGAAATCGCGACTGCTGACCTCCATCTCTATGCTTCGCTGGTGAACTACCCCCAGGTTCGCGGGAGAAGCCCACTGGGGACTTACTAACTTAAGTGGGCCCGGAGTGGATTCTATGTGGTTTTGCTACAAAAATTGAGTTTTTTTTTACATTTCGGAGTTTGAACAGCTGCTCCTTTTAGATGTTTTTTTCATAGTTTAACCATTTTTGTCTTAATATGCCTGGTTGGTGTCCTTTTTTTTGCACACGGACCTAGATAGCAACGGTGTTCCGAGAATCTGGAGGATGAAGGGTTGCAGTCTTCGCTCAAAATGCCACCGGTCCCATTGATGGATTCGTTCACTACGCAGTTACAAGGTGGCTATACCCCATTTACGATAGCTACAAACATGGTGATTCACCAGCAACAAATAGGGATTTAATGGGATTTGATAGGGATTTATATATCGCCATGATAAATGGTATATCATAACTGCTTGGTGGTTTGGAACCATGGAATTTTTTGACTTTTCACCCAGTTGGTCAACTTCCCGCCCTTGTACTTACATGAACAACTCCGCGATTGTGAACTTCAGCGTGTTCGCTAGCATCGGGGTGGCATACATGCATTCCGACAATGCAACTTTGGACAATGCAGAAACCAGGATCATGCATTTCGAAGCCATCACGATGGCCTTGGTGGCGCTCTTGCAATATTTGGGAAGACCACCCTATCTTGCCTCAATCTTTCAGCTATGGACGGCCATTACAAACAGCCTGGTCCTCTTCGAACAAATGGTGTTTCCGGAACAAGTTCCTCAGACAAGCACCAGTTTGACTTTGCCCCCACGTGCAAAACCGCTGTCAGCGATCATGAATGACGACTTCCAGGAACACACCAACAAACTGGAGCCTGCCGTCACTTGTTTGAGAGCATTCCTACATTGGTACCGCCAACGGTATGACACTGAGTTGCATGCCGAGACTACTTCAATGCTTGAAGACTTGAAGACTCCTTATTGGTTATACCACACACCAGGCTAAGTTGACTTATGTACAACTTGTTTGACTAGGGTTTAAACTAGGGTTTATGGGCCATATAACTGCCGACGATAGTGACGATGTCGTCAATGGGTTTATCAAACAACCAACATAACTCGGAGGCCTCACCTTATAGAACTTACCCTTTTTAAGACATCCGTAAACACCATTTTTCCCATGTAAAACTGGTTGGTGGTTTGGAACATGAATTTTATTTTTCCATATATTGGGAATAATAATCCCAACTGACTTTCATATTTTTCAGAGGGGTTGAAAGCACCAACCAGAAAACTGTTGGGTTTTTCCACGCCATTATCGGCTGGTAGATGATAGCCACAAGGGACAGGGGGTAATTGGTCAGGTTACATCATTTTACCATATTCACCTCTTTATCGACCAGTTTTCCCGACGTATCTGGTGTGTTGGTGTTGGGAGCAGCTTTAATGAGATGGTTGAAGATTTATGTCTCAGGTTGGTGGTTTGTTACATTTTTTTTCCATGTGATTTAGTGAGCTGATATACCAAGATATGCATATCGTATACTGATTGGTGGTTTGGAACATTTTTGTTCCAGAAACAGTTGGGAATGGAATGTCATCATCCCAACATTTCCGAACTCTAATATTTTTCAGAGGGGTTGGTTGAAACCACCAACCAGATTGGTATATCCATATATTTATATGTCTACATAATATATATATATGTATATGTCAATAGATGTATTCAGGATTATCAATCAACTATGGTAGGTCAGCCACCAACCAGCATAGATCAATGGATTGGTTTAAGGGAAATTTTACAGGAAAACCCCATATTTACTGGGAAAATCTATGGTTTCCTGTAGATTTTCCCTTAAACCAATCCATTGAGATAGAGGTTTCCTACAGAGTTTTCCCCCAATCCAATGAATAGATACGGGGGTTTCCTAAAATGGTACCCAAAAATGGATGGTTTATTTCATGGAACATCCCCATTTAAAAAAAAAAATGTAACTGGGGGAAGCCCCATTTCTGAACATCCTGGCGCTGGGCATTGCTCTACAGGTTGTTCCTTATCCTATCAGCTGCAACTCGTGCGGCCAGAACCTTGGCCGTGCCATGGGGCCGGGTGATGTGGGTGATGTACGGTGGATGGGCCAGCGAAATCCGAAGCACCAGTTGAAAACGGTGGGCAATTTATCCCATGATTTTGTTGGGGTTTCAACCATCCTTTTAGTGGTGCAGGATTTCGCAACCATGCACAGTATCTACCACAAACCCATTAGTTTGCCTAGTGAACAGAAACCTATCAAACATACGACCCTGGGGACCCCATATTTGTTGCTTAAACCCATGTTGTTTACTGGTGAAGTCCAATTTTCCCCGGTTTCTACTTCCTAGCAAAAGAGTGCCAAACATTGTATAGCAGCTGGTTGGTGGTTTGGAACATGTTTTATTTTCCCATATAATGGGAATAATCATCCCAACTGACTTTCATATTTTTCAGAGGGGTTGAAACCACCAACCAGAACTGGTTGCACACCTCTGCAATGACCTGGCTTTGAAAGATGAACTTAGAATGATAAGCTCAAACAACAAGGGCCTACCGACGACTGTATTCAAGCATGTCGTCAGACCAAAAGGAATCCCGGGGTAGGGAATCATAAAATAGGTGGGATTCATTCACATGTGTTCTCCCAAAACACGATTGGCCTTTAAAAAATCACTTGGGGAACAATTGATGCTATATCATTGGTATTGTCAAGTTGTGGCATAACATGTTTTAAACTCAATTCATTCGTATGACCATAATCCAATGGTCAACTGACCTTCCAGGAGTCACGCATAAAGCAAGCAGTTCGTTCTGCAGGGGATTGGTGTACCGTCATCAGGGAGACTTTGGCAACTATCCATGACCCTGATGCTGTGTCAACCTTTCTGAGCGTGTATTTGGGGGGAGCGCACCCAGCGGTGAATGAACCTTGGCTTGAAGAGAAGGAAAAACTGGGGGAGTGTTGAATTGGCAGCGTTCTCATGGAGCAACATGATGTACACAAATTGCTTCCCCTTTTTTGCGCTGGAGTCTTGCAGCCGTCCAACGCCGCCAACCAGCTTCTGGGTCATCAGCAGATCTGGGAGGCAGTGCTCCTGGCTGAGGAGATCTACATTGAGTGCACCAAAGCTGGCAAGTTGGAAATAAATCAATCCAACGCCTAGCGCATCGTATCTTTGGGAACCCCTTCCATCTTGAGGGTGCGGTTCGCCCATCTCACGGGTGTAGCCAAAATGACCACATCGGCAACGCCATTCTGAAAGTCACTTTTTGGTTCCAACCTTATAAAGGATTTGTTAAACAAAGTTTGTTATTTCTGTTTGTAGTTTTTTTTTGCTCAGGTGATTGTTGGTTTGGGATTTTCTCAATGAATTAGTGTACCACCAAAAACATGGCATTAATGTCTTTATTAAATGGCAACATATAACATATGATTCAGATAAAAATTATAAAATGGATGACACCTCCTCCCTTGATTTGATTTTACCCCAGGTGGAAAAATGGCTCTTCTTCTGCACGACTCTCCCAAGGATTTCTTACCAAAAGACTTGAAAGATCACCATTAATTACCATGAATTACCAAGACTTTCTTACCAACCGGTTAAAGGATTATAAGGCTTATAATGGCTTACAATGGCTTATAGTGGCTTATAATGGCTTATAATGGCTTATAATCCCACTAACTATAGCTGGTTGGTGGTTTGGAACATGAATTTGATTTTCTCCAATAGTTGGGATGATGATCCAATCTGACGAACTCCATCATTTTTCAGAGGGGTAGGGCTCAACCACCAACCAGAAAAGATCGGCCATATGAAGTTGGCCCATGTGAAGAAAGCAGGCACCCCAACGGGCCCCAACGTGCTGGCCGTCCTCCACAGCTTTGGACAGCACATGTTCAAAGTTTTTTCAGTTAACATCCTACTCCGCTGGTTGGTGGTGACCGGAACCATGGAATTTTATGACTTTCCAGAAACAGTTGGGAATGTCATCATCCCAACTGACGAACTCCATCATTTTTCAGAGGGGTAGGTATACCACCAACCAGTTTGTTTAACTTATCATGTGCAGCCAGACTAGCAAATTTGTAACTGCACAAGACTTGTGATGATAGTCTAATATAGCCTTTTGAAAATGGGATTGAAGCAATTTACCTAGTTATAGATTTATCTACCCCATAGCCTAGTTAGTGTATCCTAGTGCTACATTCAACTGAAACAAACAAAACTTCTCATTCACCAGCCATCAACCCATTTTATCTTGATGTTTCCTGGTGAATTCCCATTTTTTGCTGGTCTACTCAATTTTCACTGGTCGATTCGCAATCAAATCACCATATTCTATCAGTTATATCGACATCAACCGCCATTTTCCCATGATTTTCCCCAAGTTTTCCCAGGATTTTCCCAAGTTGTTCCCATCCAAAACCCCCAACGGCGGCCCAAGGACTACGAACTGCTGGTCTTTTCGGAGCAGGATACGGTCTTCGTCCACCGGGAGCTGCTGAAGGACTTGGAGACGGCGCCCTTAGGACAGCCCGGCGGACGTCATGTCATGATGGGATTTTTTGACCATTACCCTCTGGTGAACTAACATAGCAATGGAAAATCACCATTTTTAATGGGAAAATCCACTATTTCTATGGCCATTTTCAATTGCTACGTTAGTTCACCAGAGGGTAAACACTTAATGGATGGTTCATTACCCTCTGGTAAACATACAAAAAGCTATTGAAAATGACCATAGAAATAGTGGATTTTCCCATTAAAAATGTTGATTTTCCATAGTTATGTTAGTTTACCAGAGGGTAATGGATGTTTCATTAAGTTAGAAACCCATATGATATTTGATGATTTTGATGTTTCATAGTATTTTGATCATATTTAAACACTATGGATGGTTCATTATTGAATTACCCACAATGTTAGAAATATGATGGATAAATATGATGGACATATAAGTTATTCTTAAATATCTATATTATCCATATGATGTTTGAAATCAACATATTCCCATTATTAGTATAAACATTATTCCTATATTATATTATGTATATATAGACATATATGGGATTTTCATAACCATTATTATGTACAAATAAATAGGGATTCAATGTCAACCCCGGAGTAATAAACCATGGTTTATTAATTAGGGGGTTCATCCAATAGTCATAATTTATCATTTCATCTAATACTTAAATGGTGCCCTCCCAATTAAACAGCCGTTTGGAAAAATAAACACTTACTTGTGCTAAATGTAGGGAATGAGGGAATGATCCACTGGCGAACTATCATCATCCCAGCAACCCCCAGCAACCCATCCATTCCCTACTGACTTAGCACCAGTAAGAACAATGGATTGGGTTTCCAATATCATACCATTAAAGTAATGTACCATTATAGCCATATTATACTATATGTAGGTTTCCTACAATGTGAAGCCCCCAAGATAGCTAAGTTGGTTTTCAACTCCAATAACTATGGTTTATGGTACTTATAACTATAGTTACTGGGGCTTTTGTTAACCAACTAACATCACTGGGGGGGCTCACATTGTAAGTCATGGGAGCACCCCCAGTTCTCATCCATTTTGCTCGATGGGTTTAAGGGAAATTTCACCGGAAAGCCCCATGTTTTTTTCGTGGGAAAATCACGATGGGAAACCCGGTGAAGATTTTCCCTTCAAGCAATCCCTTGTTTTTTTAATTGCTAGTCTGGTAGTAGATGTGGATTTTGAAATTAAATCATCATGAAAAATCCAGATATATCAAAAATCAAGCCATCATTTATCCAGATATAGGTTCAAAATATGGGGTTAGAAGTGGATATAACTGATAAATATTGATAAATGATGGTTGGTTAATGAGAATAGATGGTCATTTACGAAATGATGGATTGGGGCAATATGAACATATTTCTACAGTCCAGTTATATCCACTTTGCTGTCCATTTTTGGGATTTCAACGTCCCTATGGACGTCAACATGGACATATTTCTACAGTCCCTATCATGGGGGTAGAAGTGGATGTAACTGATACAGGATGCTTGGTTGATGATCTGGTTGGTGGTTTGGAACATTTTTTATTTTTCCATATATTGGGCATAATAATCCCAACTGACTAGTATTTTTCAGAGGGGTGGAAACCACCAACCAGTAGTCATTGTGTCATTTAATGGAGAGTTAAGCATTGTTTAACCATGATTAATAGGGATTTGACTATCAACGGATGAGGATCTTGACTATATAGACTATATATAGGTCATGTGATAAAAATCCATCAAACTATGGTGATTTAAGTGGATGTAGCCGATTTGCATGATGGTTGATTTTTCTGCACCTATTCGAAACCAAACAATTGTTGATTGGAAGTTCATTGTTGGTTGTAAAAGTTGGTAATTGGTTAGTACCCTCTGGTAAACTAACATAGCTATTGAACATGGCCATTTATAGTGAGTTTTCCCATTAAAAATGGTGATTTTCCATAGTTTTGTTAGTTTACTAGAGGGTATGTCATGCGACTGTCCCCTTGTTGAAGTCATACTGCATGAGTGACAAAAAGGAGATTATGAACTAAGCTATATGAATAGGAAACCGTCTTCAAGCAGCTAGTTTTGAGATGGAAAAACAAGGGGTATAGCTTGAATGGCGAAATTGTGTGCCTTTTTGGCTCTTGTTAGTTGGATGAAGTTTTCCGGTGGTTTTTCGATCATTCTTAGGATTATGAGATGGTTTTGTCAGGGTTCATCATAAGGATTATGAGTAGCCAGAGTGAAGCAATATTAGAGGTGGTGATTTTTCATTGTTTTGTTTAATATTATAGGGATGGATTATTTTTGGGATGGTGAACCAAAAAATCATGAGTAGATGGATATGATTATGGTTGGATTTTTGTAAGTACTGTAGCTATTCAAAAGTGATCACCGTCTATCATCAAAAGTCGGATTACTAGCCATATTGCGTGGATCAGCTACCTGTTTTTTTCTGATGGTGTTATAATCGCTTTTTAAAACGAGATGTACTGGGATATACCCCGCTTGCCCCGGAGAATCCTAAAGACCGGCATCTTCCGGCAACATCTAAGTGGTAGTTTCCCTTTAAAGGGTACCCCCGATCTATCTACAATGTGAGGCCCCCCAGTTCTAAGTTGGTTAACAAAAGCCCCAGTAACTTTAGTTATAAGTACCATAAACCATAGTTGTTGGAGTTATGTTCACCAACTTAGCAATCTTGGGGGCCTCACATTGTACCATAGACCCTCGTGAACCTACTGAACGAAACCATTTTAGCTAACGATTGCAGGGGCACCACCTCGTGGTTGGTGCTTGGCAATATTTTATGAGGCGCATGCTGGTGAAGTCAATCTAAATGTGTCCGTATCTTTGTCGCACTCAAAACAGCACGTATGCCAAATACGGTTCGGTACCACTCTAAACATAAAGGGCGACCCGATAGTGTCGCCATGTATGAATCATCCAGTAATCTTCAGCTACCTTGGTAGCATAGCATCGATGAAGCCGGCAGGTTTTTTTTCGGGACTGGGTAACCTCCCGGATTGTTGATGGATCTCCCCAAGTCAACATCTAAAAATGGCTGCGATTAAAACCAGACTGACAGTCATGGTAGTTGTTTATGGCTTTGGGTTTCCCACATTCTTGATTTTTTTGTAATATATATATATATATAAATATATATATATATCGAATGTTGGGATATGAACTAGTACCACAGATTGTTAATATCATATTCTTATGATTGCCAAAGTACCTGCCCGCCAATGATAGGATTCTTATAATTGCCAAATTACCATATTATTATTATATCATGACCATGGGATGAATATCCCACATTCTTGTCCCAATCTACCTGCACAGGACAGCTCTTTTCTTGGACACGGTATCCGCTCCGTTTTCCTGTGGACGAGTTCGACTGCTTCTGGTTCAAGGTCCAGGAAGTCTGGTGTCCAACCGAAAATGTTGGGAATTCACAGGGTTTACCCTCTGGTGAACTAACATAACTATATATAACTATGGAAAATCACACTATTTCGATTGGGCCATTTTCAATAGCAAACTGTTTGTTACCAGGGTTTACGGGTTCTTCCCGCTCCGGGATTCATGGCCATGATTTGCGGGGGCCCAATGCACCCTTTAGTTCGAATACTGGAGTCCTGGAGAGTATTTGATGAGTAAAACACATGTGGTTCCTGCAGGGTGGTGCCAAAAATCGTTAGCTGAGTTGCTGCAAATAAATCCAATAACTATGGTTTATAGGTGATATATCGAACTAGTTAGTGGGATTATAACCCATTTATAACTGGGGGGGGCACCACCTTGTGTATGTTAAATGTTCCAGTCATTTTTCGAGAATAAACAGGTCCATTTTATGCTGGCCCCCCGGTTCCTGTTGTTCACACTTCACACCAAAATAGGGCGCCCATCCAAATAAATATATCTTCTCATATTAATATGACTGGTTGTTGGTTTGGAACATTTTTTATTTTTCCCTTCAGTTGGGAATGCCATCATCCCAACTGACGAACTCATATTTTTCAAAGGGGTAGGTATACCACCAACCAGTCACTCTTGCCAATGTCGGTCGATCCCCTTTAATTAAACATGTCATTTTTTTAGCTGAAGATGATGTCTATTTTCCCGAAAAAAAACGCTACTTGGGGAATGCTTTGTGGGAGGCATTTGGGCATTGTTTGAGGTTCCTTGAGAAAATCCAAGAATATATGGTGGGTTACTAAAATCATAGCCATAGTTAGAGTAACTATGGCTATAACATGCTACAACTATAGACTCTAGACAGAGTATTTTAGAACTATCATCTGGCTGATGGTTTCAAACATGAATTTTATTTTCCATTTCATATATGGAATAATAATCCCATGCAACTGACGAACTCAGATTTCTCAAGATGGTTAAAACCACCAACCAGTCATGATAGGGTTGCCATGTTGCTTGGTCTCCTATGGCCAATCTTCATCCATATCCGAGGTCGTGCTCTCCATTTATGGCTCAACCATGGATTTTTGCCAACTAAACCCTCCATTTATAGGAGGTTCCCGGTTTGCTATACATCAATTGTAATCATAGATTTGTTCGCCACTTTAACCATCATAAATCAGCCATAAATCAGCATACTTGCAGCATAAAGAACACTGATAATCACCATTAATCACCATAAATCACCATAAACCAACCATAAATCAACCATAAACCAACCATAAATCACTAAATCACCATAAATCCCTATGCTTTCTGCAGCACTCCACTTCTTCAAGTGCAGTTCCAGTGAACTCAATGGAGTTTTTTTCATCAAAGATTCGATGTTCGCAGCGAGCGACAAAAACCTCCATTTATGACATGTGTCATGGGGGTTCAGAATCATATGTGTATATAGTATATGTTCACATGTATATATATATATATATACATATATATATATACATACATATACATATATATATTTATATTATATACATATACATATATATATATACAGACATATATTTACACATATATCATCTAGATGTATATATAGTATATCGTATATAGAGATATTCCAGGTTTTCAGCGCTCGCGTTTTCTACACCCCAGCGACGCCGCGGACCGCAGCCTGGGTGAAAAGGAAGGAACCGGCGGAGGACGCGCCGCAACGGCGATCTCACGGCGATTTCACGGGGAATCTCATGGTTTCATGGTAAAAACCATAGAAAAACCATAGAAATTGGAGGTTTTAATGGGAAAACCATAGGAAAACCATAGGAAAACCATATCAAATAGCAAACATTATTATATTGACTATTAATGGATCATTATGTGAATGAATCATCTGTGGATAACATTTATTTTGATAAATATGTGGATCCATTAATGGATTAATCAACCATTATTCATTATGTGGATTAATGGATTATTATGTGAATGAATGGATCTGACTATTTGAGATCTTTATGTGGATTTGAGTTCTTCTGATATGTGTTCTGATTGATGGGAATTTTTGTGGCCACGAACATGTGAAAAACCTACCATTAAATTGGGATCATGAAATCATGTGAAATTTATCCAATGTGGGTCCATTGGATATCCGGCCGTACTCATGGTTTTTTCACAGCCACCATGTGCCTTCCAGGACGGCTGACGCCCAAAGCGATCCCCCTGGATTTCGTGCGAGAATGGTTGGAGAGTGGCAGCAAAACGCCCATCGCCACCTTAGCAGCTTGACATGCGATGGGTACAACGTGGCTGAGAACGGTGGATGAAGTGGTTTTTACAGTTGGAATTATTGTTTTTTGTAGGTGTAAATGGTTAGTTGTATGTTTATAGTAGTTAAATGCCCCGTTTTTTTGGGAGGGGGTACAGTATCTAAGCAAGAGTAGTTCATGATGATAGTCCCGCAACAGGGAATGTTATATCCTGTTCGGGTAGAGTTTCGTGGTGTAGAGTGACAAGAAACCCTGCAGCAAATTCAGCAATTGGAAATCGAGATTTAGATATATCATGATAAATCTATTTCCAATTGCTTGTGTAGATTGAAAACGTCAATACATTTTGAAAGGAGCTGTCCACCGTCCAAAAGAGGTTATCAAGCTACCAAGCCAGGAACGAATTTGGCGCAACATCACGACAGTCGTTGAAGCAGCAGCAGAAGCCTCGCCTCTGCAACATGTACGCTACATCTTGGACCTGTGCATCTTGGACATGCAAAAATGATATGGGTATGTCTGAAAATGAGGTACCCCAACTTGTGGCCGTTGAAGAAACCCATGATTTTTGCATGTCTGAAAAAATGGGGCTACCTGTCAGACAAACTACCAGATTTTTGCATCGAAAGATCTTAAGGACTCTAACTTTATCAGACCTCAGCAAGATTCAGAGCCTAGGACTAGATTCAGATAGGAATAACTTTGCGACCAAGACTTTGGTCTATGAAAATCCAGTACCAAAAAAACATTAAATCTTGGTGAAGACCTTCTATTTCTGGCAGCAATTGGTGAACTGAACGACTGAACCCGAACCATTTTTCATGTCCACAAAAAAAGCTGTGACGCTCACCAGATGGACCCCAAAAGCATCCAAAAGCCCGAAGAGTCTTCACCGCTTCTCTCCAGGACAGCACCGAACCAGTGCGCACGTGTTTCCCGACGATCATCCAGGGGACAACGGCCGCAGGCAGGATGCAATGGGTCAAAGCAGGGAACGCTTGGAGCGGGAAAAAAAGGGGGATTTCATGGGTTTTTTTGGTGTGCCATAGATTTAACTGATAATGGGACTTTTTGTGTTTGGTCAAAAATGGGGTGAATTGTGGTTTCATGGGTTTTTTTGGTGGTTTCATGGGAGGAACCAGCCGTTTTATGGGAATACAATGGGGATATAATGGGATACTGATGGGATTTGCACCCGAAAATATTTTTCTGGAATCGCTGAGTCGATGGTTTTTGGCATTTTCCCAATGGAAAATCCACTACATAGAGAACAGGGATGGTAGAAAGCCTATAAATAATGGGATGTTTGCCACCTATTAACTGGTGATTCGGATTTTTTCCATCCACAGTATGTTCTCGATTTTTTGCTGGGATCCTTTAACATATCCAGTGATATTTGAAGAATGTTGGATACATTGGATACATGAATTCTGTGCCAAAAGCATGCGGCTGGCTGCCACAAGGCTGTGACATGATCCTTCCTGGCTTATGCTGGCTCTACCAAAAGTCCTTCCCTGCGGGCGCAGTTCCAGAAACAGTGATTTAACGACAATGGACTGGCTGGTGGTTTGGAACATTCTTTATTTTTCCATTCAGTTGGGAATAATGATCCCAACTGACTTTCATATGTTTCAGAGGGGTTGAAACCACCAACTAGCGGATCGTGTCATGAATGATGGATCAAACCAAAGAGTAGTGGTCGGAAATTGATTTCTTGTCCATGCCAGAGGATCAAAGGTTTCTTCGAAAAACCAACAACTCTGCCTCTGGTGGCTGGATTTCTTCGAAAATTACATCACTACTGGTGTAAGCATGCATATTTATGATATGTATGCAAACATCTACTGAAATGCGTATATGTCATTGTATGCGGGGTCGCACAGATTTTTGGATTAGGGAAAGAAATCCATACCTTGAGACTTGAGGATCATCTCACTTAGCAAGTGACGAAAATAAGCCTACTGATCTTAAGTCCCAAAATTCGTGAGGTTATCCCATAACTTTTATAACTGGATTATAGATATGGTCTAGTTCATCAACCAATAACATATAGAGTTCATCAACCAATAACTAGAATCAGTTTTTATATATACCCTCTGGTAAATTAACATAGACCCTGGCAGATAGGGGTTGGAAGATTAGTGTCCATTAAAACTAGGCTATTTTCAGGGTCTATGTTAATTTACCAGAGGGTAAGTTACTTGCTAGTGATTTTGTAGTTCATCAAGGTCATCACTTCCAATGCGTGGCATCCTCCAATGGTCCAACTGCGTGCATCAGACTGAGGCAGTTCTTCCCAGTTCGTCGCGCCGAGCCGACATTGATGACGCGTTGCGCTTGCGCAAGTTGACGCAGGTGGGAAGATCCAGCTTCCTGTAGATGTTCCCTTTTTTAAACCAGCCCATTGATATATCCAGCCATGTGTTTTTCTTTTTGTGGCATGTCGAAGTTTATGTCATGGCCAGTAGAATAAAAGATAAAAATGTATCTGGTTGGTAATTTCAGACATGAATTTTATTTTCCATAATATATGGGAAGAATCATCTCAACTGACGAACTCATATTTTTCAAGATGGTTAAAACCACCAACCAGATTTTTCAAGATGGTTATAGCCATTTATCACCTATAAACCATAGTTATAACCTATTAGTTAGAGGGATTATAACCCATTTGCAGTAGAAAGAATAAAAGTGTATCTGATTGGTGGTTTGGAACATGGCTTTTATTTTCCATATATTGGGAATGTCATCATCCCCACTGACGTTCACTCCATCATTTTTCAGAGGGGTTGGTTGAAACCACCAACCAGGTATGTATATGTTATAATCCCATCATATAACCATATAAAATCACTATTATTGTTGAAACCACCAACCAGGTATTCTTTTTGTCGAAAATTGCCTTGTCTTGTCGTGAAATCCAGCGAACGCTCCTCCGACTTTCAGCCTTGTTTCACAACAACCGACCATAAAGGCTGCTTGAAATCCTCAGGTATGTTACGGTATGTTGGCAAATATAAGTAGATTAACCATAATTAACCTGGTTTTAGGTTTCAGGTGAATACTTAACAGAGTTGAAATAAACCAGCAAACACGGGACGTCGAGGTTTAGACGACCCAAGGGGGAGATCAAGACGATCGAGACGTGAGTTGTCGCTGCCGGTGTCGGTGCTACGGAAAAATTGATGCGTTTCTTGGGAATGTCTTTTTATGTAGTCGGTGATTTTTGACTTTTCCAACGTTCAATACCCGGAAATACACTAAATAACGATTAATTAATGATAATGATATCAATATATATATATATATATATATTATGTATATATATATATATATATTATGTATATATATATTATATGTATATATATATATAATGACAATGATATCATGATGGCTTGTCATGAAATATGTAATCACAATGTGAACAAGAAAAGCACTCAGACGCTCCTACTGCCACCCGTCAGAGTCATGGGATGAAACTTTTTTAATCTCCGACGACTAGGCGGTGCTCGACTAGTGCGAAAGGGTGCTCGAGTAGTGGTTACCCTCTGGTAATTTAACAGTTTGCTATTGAAAATTGCCCATAGAAAGTTGATTTGCCCATTGAAAATGGTGATTTTCCATAGTTATGTAAACGTTTACCAGAGGGTGGGTGATGTTATTGATTGGTCTACTCTGGTTACTTAGATGGGCCATGGAAAAAACGCGATTCCTGGTTAGCAACCGGGGATTTGTTACCCCCGATATATCCCAATGAAATAATCCATTTACTAACTAGTTAACTAACTCCATGGCCCATCTAAGTAGGTGATGTCATTGATTGGTCTACCCTCTAGAGTAAACTAAGAGTCACATTTCGACTTTGCGATTGAAAATCACCATGTGTTTTTTTCAGGTAGATAAAAACCTATTTCCTGAAAAACCATAGGTGTTGATTCCTTCAAATAGATGAACCATAGATAGCCTCTGGTTATTTAACATAGCCATGGAACATGACCCATTTATAGCTTGTTTACCTATTAAGAATGGTGATGTTCCATGGCTATGTTAAATACCCAGATGGTAAATCACCATGTTTTTTCAGGTTTCCAGTTAGATCGTCGATTTCTATGGTTTCTATGGCTTCCAATGAAGACCATCCTGGTTACATATCAATAAAACATATATATATATGGTAGGAACCCCCAAGTTAGGTTCCTGAAATGGCCATTGAGTTATAAATTGGCTTATAATGATATATATAACCTTGTATATAGAGATTATGTTCAACATCAGTGTCATTATGTTTCTATGTTATATTCAATAGTGCTTGTAGTACTGTTAGATAATCAAAGCACATGTAAATATGTCATTGTACCACTACAACTGATATTTTAGCACAACTTGTGTCTGAAAATGGAGCATCAACCCTCCACAAAAACATTATTTTTTAATAGGGAAAATAGTGATAAACCAGTGGGAGGATAATTCCTACCAACAAATAGTTCTGGTTGGGGGTTTGGAACATGGCTTTTATTTTTCCATATATTGAGAAGAATCATCCCAACTGACTTTCATATTTTTCAGAGGGGTTGAAACCACCAACAAATAGTTCCATCATTTAGGTATGTTCAAGTCCATTCACAGCGGAGTTTTGTTCAGTTGATCTTGGCGTGGTTCCAGGACGTCTGTGGAAGGGAAATATCAACTGAAAACGTGTTACCATTTTTTATTGGGAAAATTATGGGAAAATTAGTGATAAACCTGCCGAAAATTCTGAGTCTATCTGTTACGTCAGATTTTTATAGATATTCTCTAACCATGGATCTAACCAATAGTCATAGAATTGGATGATGGGAAATTTTACAGGATAGCCCTATATTTGATGGTAAAAACCCTGGTTTCCTGTAGATTTTCCCTTAAACCAACCCAATGAAATAGTCATTTTTTCTAACCAATGGATTTTTTGTTTTTCCATGTTTTCAACCCCTCATTTCCAGGAGCTCAGGCCTCACGGTGCCACTTTGCAGTGCCGTTCTCCCCGTTCTCCCCGAGCCGTTGAGGACGGGGGTTATCAGTCGTCACCCGCGGTGAAGATGACGAGGTTCTCCAATAAACCAGAGCCATGGCTTAATCCATCTGAATCCATCTGAATCCATCAAAAATTGATCGAGCTGATGAATAGTTGTCAACGGATTGATGATTCGTGGAAAAGGAATAATTATATCATGTTAGCCAAAAACGGATCCACGGATGATCCACCATCCCCAAAAAATCATGCGAAAACCTGGAAAAATGTGTCGTTCTTAAATGGATCAAGCCGAAGCAGATTATGGTGTTTCTTAAATCATTGTTGCGAGTAAAACATCCATGGTTCATCCCCCAATTTCAAAGGTCCACTTTGGTTCAATCAGTTCAATCCTGTCGCCACAGCCCACCGGGCACCAGGTCTCTCCAAGGGAGCTCCAGACGCAATTTGCAACGGTAACAAATCGGGAGGTCGCAAGCGTCCGGGTGAGGCAACATGCAATGACTGGTTAGCGGTTACAGAAATACCTTTTTTCCCCCATTTACCCAGCATAAATGTGACATTTCCGCAGATACTCCATGGAAAAATATGTGTTTTCGCAAACGAGGCAAGCCATGAGGAATGCACCTACAAGGTGCCCTGTTGGTCGTTAAGCTGGTTGAATTTTTTGTAAACGATTGATTTATGACGTAACCAATGTTCGTGGCTGGATGGTAGATCCCATTGCGATGCCCCATCATTTACTGCACAGGTTTTCGTAATTACAATGTGGTGCCCCCAAGATAGCTAAGTCGGTTTATAACTCTTATAACTAGGACTTATGGTAGATATATCTATAGTTAATGAGATTATAAACCAACAAACATCACTAGGGGAGGCACCACCTTGTAGCAATAGTTTTCCTTGGAGTATTTATGGCCATAGATTTGGCCAACAAGCCCATCTTTCGTAGTCCAATATAGGATTTGACCCGCACACACACAGATAGATGTGTTTCAGCAATGATACGAGTGATATAACCACAAAAAAAGAACGTAGAAATCATGGGGATAAGTGGCAGTTTCCTAAAGACAATTGATTCCCACAAAATTCATTGTTGGAAAATAACTCATTATTGAGCTGAATTCCTCTTGAAATTTCCCAAGATACCAAAGGATAAACCTCCCTATTGTTGACCATTACTCCATTATTGTCATTCAAAGTCCAACCAACAAACAACTCCGGAACGGAAAAAAAAATTGTCCCTTTCCACACTTCCAACCTCAAAAGAAAAAAATCTAAACCGCCATAAATCATCCCCAAAATCACCAATTTTTTGGGGGGTAATAGTTAATCACCATCCCCAGTCACGGTAATCGTTTATGGCCGGGTTTCTCACATGGCCAGGTTGCATCGAAAGGCGGGAAGGCCAGCAGGGGAAAATGGTCCATCTATTAGAAGTATTACTTAATATGGAAAATTGTGGAAATAGAATTATGGAAATAATCACATGTATATAGTATTATGTAATTCTATTCCAATTTCCATATTACATAATCCATTGTGGAAATAATTACAGACCATCATGGGACTTAAGATATAAAATGGATTAAATCCATCCATTCTGGAAATATTAATATATATATATATATTTATAGATATGTTTAATATATTAATATGTTTTTTCACTACAATGACTCAATCTCCTTTATGATATTGGTGACTTATCCTGGTGAGTTTTTCATAACTGATGTATATGGAGATGAACTAATCCATCAGGGGTAAACCCCACGATCAACCGGTAAAACCCTTCGTTCTCAACTATAGCTGGTTGGTGATTCACCAGCAACAAATAGGGATTTAATGAGATTTAATAGGGATTTATATTATAAATGGTATATGGTCCTGACTGGTTGGTGGTGACTGGAACCATGGAATTTTATGACTTTCCATTCAGTTGGGAATGGAATAATCATCCCAACTGACAAACTCCATCATTTTTCAGAGGGGTAGGTATACCACCAACCAGACTAGGTAACTAGACGATGCTCAAGTTGGTTTATAAGATCTGTAGATTTACAGACGGATTTCTGGTGGTACCATGTTAATTTCGCTACAGTTCAATGGGTAATAAACCACCTTAAGTCAAGTGTCGTTGGTGCATTGGATAGCCCGGGATGGTCGTATCAAAATCATCAAAGATAAAGATTCGATCAAGAAACATGGCGATTGAAGCAATATATGATAGGTTTCTGCTCATTTGGGTTTCTGGTGAGCATTTTGAACTAGTTAGATGGGCAATTGGGGCCCTCTTTGTAGCCTAAATGTGGATTTTCTAATTACCTAGATCTGGATGTTATCAATTATCAACCAAAGATGTGAGTGCAATCAACCAAAGATGTGGGCTTCACAGAGCAACAATATGGATATTAGCTAAGGAAAGATATGGATGTTAACAACCAAGAATGAGAATGTGATGTTACCCTCTGGTAATTTAACATAGCTATTGAAAATGTACCATAGAAATAGTTGATTTACCTATTCAAAATGGTGAGTTTCAATAGCTATGTTAGCGTACCGGAGGGTACCTAGCGAATACGGCGCCTTCAATGGTGATCTGAAAAAACAAAATTTTGGAGCAGCGGCTGCGATCTACCCCTGTTGGTTGATTCGTTGGGGGATGATTTTATCATATGTTATCCCTTTTTATCCTATATATTATATTTAGATATATAGATATATAGAAATATATATATATATTTAGATATATATATATATAGATATATATATATTTAGATATATATATATATAGATATATATAAATATATATACATATATATATATATATGAATATAGGTGTATATATATAGACACATATATATATATATAGTCATTGTGGATTAGTTCACCAACCCCACTGAACCCCACTGGGCCCGTTCTTTTCCTCAACAAAAAGTGGCTCCAAAAATCCCATGATTGGGTCAAAACAATCCTCCATTTTTTCCCTAGGCCAGGAGCATGGCCCTTCGGTATTTACAGGTGGCTTTCTGGAAAAACAACCATAGATGATGTTCCCGTTGAATCCTCCGTTTTCTTCAGGAATGTCCAATTTCTATAGAAATGAGGACACCGAATGGTAAAAACATGGTCAAAGAAGCGGCATGATTCAGATCTTTGGTGGATGAAGATGTTGTCCACGTTGAATCCGGGAACAGAGCTCGCGTCTTGTCATTCAATCGCCATGTTTTGGCTGCGAGATCCTCAAACGAAATGGAGAAGACTGAGAGTTGAGAAAATCAGCCTTGTGTCAACCTGTTTCAGGCAAGGAAATTTTCAAAGATGGGAGAACTTCAATCGTTTGCTCGAAATGGTGATAGAAGCAACCAGTGGTAAACGTTTACATAACTATGGAAAATCACCATTTTTTGTTGGGTAAATCAGCTATTTCTATGGGCCATGTTCAATAGCAAAGTGTTAAATTTCTGGTAGCCAGCTAATTGGAGGATCAAAAATATTGCGAAAAAAAGGCCATGTTTGGGATAATCCAACCTTCAGATGGCATAGCCAGGCTCTCAGGTGGAGTCATATGTCATCATCATACCGCTGTTCGTCACATGGAAAATCACCATTGACCCAGCTACATAGCATGGTGATTTTCCATAGTTATGTTATGTTAATCACTATTTGATGGGTAAAATCACCATTTTTCATGGGTAAAAATCACAACTGCTGAAGAAATACCCGTTTTTTTCGCCGGTTCCCCGATCGTTCAATGCTTCCACCATGCTTCCACCATGGGGATCTGCGGATGGCTGGCTGTGGCACTGGTGGCATTGGCAACAGCTGAGGTGGGAAACATGGGAGACCCATTTGGGACACATTTACAATGTGGTTTGCCCCCGTTGGATAGCTAAGTTGGTGAACATAACTCCAATAACTATGGTTTATGGTACGCAAATAACTATAGTTACTGGGGCGAATCTAAACCAACTTATAACTGGGGGGCCTCACATTGTACTGATAGTGGGATTGGTTGGTGGTTTGGAACACCATATATTGGGAATTTCATCATCCCAACTGACTTTCATATTTTTCAGAGGGGTAGGTCAACCACCAACCAGCTCATAATTTGAGATTATGTATTTCCATTTATGATTTAAGTTCTTGTATGGGAACTCATACTCTTGTTCGAACACTTTGTACTATTTGTACTCTGTTTTATACCATGAGTTTGCTTATTTCAACTCAGGATCTGAGTTCGTGCAGATTCACTTATCTTTGGTTTTTGGTTGAGTTCATGGTTTCATAGTATAACTAGGTCAATCTTACATGGATACTTTAATCCTTGAGTCTTTTGGTATTAATGGGAATATCTACTAACCAGCAAAGAATTTAATGTCTTGCAGGGTATCTAAGATTGGCAATGATAACAGCTCATGGTTTGAATTCGAGTAAGATTCCGAAATTACGTGTAGTCGCAGATGGGGCAAGTCTCAACTGCTCCTCTCCAGTTGGGATGACGGAAAGCCACAACTCGAAAGCGGTGGGTGACAGCACTTTTCAAGCTGTGTGCAGGAACTTCTGCGCCTCTATCGTGCGTACAAGGAGAGTCTTTTGGTGCTTCGGGATTTTTTGTTCCGCTCCTTCGAGTTTTTTTGTCCATTGAGCCACTTCATCAAGGTATATATAATTTGATCCATCTTCATCGCTTCTACCAGTGGTAGATGTACTTCCTGTGGGGCGAGATCAATTCCTGGCGGTTGGAGGTCGGTTGGCGATCGCAAAAAATCAACGAACCAGCTGAGACCGATCGCAAAGAAGAAGCGAAACGCAGATGGAGTCGCAGTCGGATTCTATCCTCGAGGATGAGTACCCTCTGGTAAACTAACGTAGCTATGGAAAATCACCATTTTTAATGGGAAAGCTCACATTTAATGGCAATTTTCAATAGCTATGTTAAATTACCAGAGGGTAAGAGATTTAGTATAGAAAATATGTGTAAACAATCAATGTAAAAAGAACGAAAAATATCATGTACATGTTTATGTCAAAAAATATAGACATGATAGTAATGATAGTTTCAGACATCTCTACAGGATCTTTCCCCATTCGAGTGTTTTTGTTGACTACAATATATTCCATTTAGGTTTGCCGAAAAATAGGGTACACCAGAATCCCATGACTAATTATTCCCTGTACAAACGTATTTTCAAACAGTCAATCCATTCGGATAGTGTTCCTTTCATTAAAAAGATGTTGTTGCTTAAAAACAATGTTCAATTTTTGGCTGGTTAAATAGCAAAGATATTGTGGTGAGCATCAACCCTCATTAATATTTTTGTGGTTGACTCCAACTTCCCGCAGTGGTTAATTTCCCGTGATGTATCCATGCATGAGTTAGAGGGATGAGCGAGAGATGCCGCGGGGAAAAAAGTCTTTGATGCCGCTAGTAACGACTTAGTAACATACCCATGTCTTCCCAGTTACTAAGCTATATGTGGGATATATCCATCCATATTATATTTTATTGTGCCCATATAATACCCATACTATACCCGTATTTTACCTATATTATACCTCGTTAGTGAACCCCCTTGTTGTTATACCTATAGTACAAATATATCCATTGAAGTAAGTATGGCAAAGCCCTCACTTGCGCACTTAGGATTTCACTCACTTGCGCACTTACCCTCACTTGCGCACTTCACCACAAAATTTCACTCACTTGCGCACTTACCCGAACAAGGGGGGAGGGGGGAACATGGGGGGAGGGGGGGAGGGGGTGCATATAGGGGGAACAAGGGGGGGAGGGGGGGAACAGGGGGGAGGGGGGGGTTGGAATATAGGAACAAGGGGGGGGGAGGGAAAGGGGGGGGGGTAGGGAGGATATAGGGAACAGGGGGGGGGGAACAAGGGGGAGGGGGGGGCATAGGGAACAAGGGAGGGGGGAACAGGGGGGAGGGGGGGGGGGGTAATGTGGGAACAAGGGGGGGGAACAGGGGGGGTGGGGGGGTGGAATTGGGAACAAGGGGGGGAGGGGGGAGCAGGGGGGAAGGGGGGGTTGCATAGGGAACAGGGGGGCAGGGGGGAACAGGGTGGGAGGGGGGGGTCGCATCGTCTAATGTTTGGCATCCTCCCCAAAGTTTTGGAATCCCCCTTTGAATTAAGTGCGAGTGTTGGTCTCATAGATTTGAGTGTCAGATGTGTCTCATAGATTTAATGCTCAGCAAATGTGGAGGGGGTAAGAATTTTCAAAAAAAAGAGAGTATTTCTTTATGTTATAATATATGTGGGAAGGGTTCATCATCATCTATACACCAATAAGGGTTGTTATGACTAACATTTCAACAACCAGGTTCAAATGCCTTTGACAGAATTTCTGTGTGAAAAACTCACAAGACAAGTTGCACATACAGCACAACAAGATACCAGTCAAACTTGACAGGCAAGACTTTTCAACCCTTAGATCAAACCCGTCTTGACGCAGCAGTTCCACATGTTTTTGCATTAACAATGCAAAACACCATTGGCCCCAACAATAATGCAAACATTTTTGTACCAAACAGGACGTGCATGTCTAAAACTAACACGTTACTGTGCCCCATGGCACAGGAGGCTGGCATCCGAATGGCATCGACAAGAAAATCATAAGTGCACAAGCGAGGAGAATCGCAAGTGCACAAGCGAGGCAAATCATAAGTGCACAACCGAGTGCTCGCCCTTGAAGTATCGCGTGTACTTTTATTTGGATGTTCACTAGAACGGAGGGTTAGCGTGTTTTGCTACTGTCATTTTGGGCTCAAGTCTTTGCCCATTTTGATTGTTGGATACTGACGAAATCGTCATAATGCCCATTTGCAATTGGGCGCTCATATTAGGGCTAGTTTCCAGTGTAGGTTCCCCTTCTGTGTATGGCCTGCCATGGTACCTGGATGTCTTTCATGGGATGACTGGATCTAGGGAGGAAGAAGTCACCAATGGGAAAGATCAACCCGAAGTATCAGAAGGTCAGTCCGATCCCACGAAGGAAAGTTCTCAATCTGGAATCCCGTTTGAAGGAATAGCCCATGTGTGGGGATACTCTGTCCTCCACTTTGATTTCCGTTCATGGATAGGCTCCTCATGGTTCAGCACACCAACAGCACCTGGAACCCTGAGCTCCTCAGGAGGGTGGGGATTGTACTTCTTGGATCAGCTGGGGGTGTGGACATGCGGAGATTTTTGGCCATGGGTTGCCAGATGTTTGTTAAGTGCCATCGTGGTTTTGGGAGCAATTTTGATTCTCTACTTGCTATTGGTTATCTGCCGGCCCTGTCAAGCTTTCTGCAAATGTTGCTGCAGACAGACCAGAGCAGTAGCCAAAGAGGTGGGGGAGCTCCTCCCCGAACTTAGACCTGGGGGCACATACGAAAAGCTGGATATCCGTGGACCCGCCTCTAGCGGGGGCGTCGATTCCGAATTCTACCAACGAGGCGTCAAGGGTCGAGGTTCAGAAAGAAAACCCAATGACGTAGCTGTTGTGGTGAATGACCAAATAGCTCGCTTGAAGGTAGACGGGGATCATTGGGCACGTGTGGATCGATACGGGTTATGGGTTCGTCTCCGTGGGGTGAAGGGTTCCACGTCGAAAGCGCTTCGCCAAACGTTGGAACAGGAGGGGAAAATCCATCTCTGTCGCGAGCAGCGGTGTCCGCTTGAATTGCAACCAACACCCGGTCTACATTGCAAAGCTTACGCTTCGGTGGATGCCAATGGGCTGGTGGATTTGGGAGCTTATGCAGGGTGGTCCACCCGCAGGGTGATCGTCTTGATGGGTCGATGGCTACGTAGAATGGTGCGGGGGCTTAGTCTCTGCGTGTACTATCTGACGGGATGGTTCATTCTCAGACAACTCTGGGCAAAGCGGACGCCACCCAGAACCATAGTCGAAGGAGCCGTCGTCAGACCCTTGGATGCGGAATCTGAATCTGAAGTAGAGGTACAAGATGACCCTTGTGAGGCCGTATTAGTCGGTTTGGAACATGGAGGCAAACCGAGAGCATTGGCCACAGACCCATGTGCAGATCGGGCTATCGGAGAGCCGGTCCGGCTCCTGGAGAGGGACAGAGAACTCTCTGACGTCAAAAGGAGATCCTCCGTCAGGCTTTGCGACCATCATCGGCAGCTCTACGTGGCGGCATGTTCAAGCCGAAAATGCAGCGTGTTGGCTTGCTACGAACAGGTTGATGGTGCCAAACAGGGAGTTCCCCTCTGCAAGCACCACCTGACGGACCTTGGTGGTTGTGCTCGCCCTACCCGCAGGGTTAGCTGGACACATGAGAGAGATAGCTCCATTGCACGATCCGAGGCATCTATGTCCGAAGGAGAATGCCTCACCCCTGCACGAAGAAGCCGCCGGATCATCTTTGACGGCGCTGAACGACTTGGGCCCAGGGCTGCTTCGGCCGATCCTAGTGAATCCCAGAAGAAGATTGAAGGCAAGCTTGAGAAGGGCCCGTGCATGGTGCTCCTCAGACCAAAGTCATTACAAACCACGGAGGCCCCACCCAGGTGGACTGCATGGTTGGGGCGCATCGAGGGGTTCGCCGAAGAAGGGCGCAGCCAGGAGCTGCTCGAAGTCCACATCCCTTCCTTGAAGCAAACGTGTGTGATCCACAGAAGGCTGTTGAAAGGGTCCCCTCGAGACAACGGGGCGGGTCGAATTAGTAAGCATTGGGTGCAGAAGTTCCTTCAGCATACCCATGACGAAGAAGTCGGCCAAGGGATATCGGTCTTGGTCGCGCGCCTGTCCGAAGACCAAGCAGCGGCCCTGAATGCCTGGGACGGTGTGTGAGGTGACGGATGAAGGAGCGAAGCCAAGTAAAGCCTGGCAGGGGAGACTCTACCGGGAGATCCTCCCGCATGCTGATGCATATTTGCGTGAAGAAGCTGAGATGTCCGACGACTTTATGACACCGCCAAAGCCGAAAGTCGAGCTGGAAGAGGGTGCGGGACCGGCGATTCCACCCTTCCCAGACCTAGATGATTCAGATCGCCAGGGAAGAATGGAGGCAGCTCGAAGAGCTCTTGACCAGCACATTGAGGGAGAGATAGATTCCGAAGTGTTGCAGACCGTGGCCACTGCCTTCGACCTAGATCATGAGCAACTGGCTCAGTCGATGTATGCGAGAAATCACCGCCTTAGCTACTCGAAGCCAACGGCACCACCAGGATTGGGAGCCGACCAAAGCGAAATGGAGTTTGCAAGCAGACCCGTGACGGCAACTATGCCAGGAGGAGTGACCGTAAAGCCAGCAGTCCCCCGGCCGGCGAATCCACTTCTGCCGAGGAGCTCCTCCTCGGTCCAGAGAGGTGGATTGTCGCTCTTTCCCAAGGGGTCAGGCGGTCGAAACAGTCTCGTGAAACCAGCATCGGAGCAGATGCCGGATGGCAGAGCAGGAGCCACGTTCGGAGAAGCCCTCGGAGACAGCACACAAGTCCAAAGCGCGGACCGCATCATTCACGCCATCGACGGTCTGAGAAGAGCACAGGATGACGACAAAAACCTCACGAAAGGGACCTTGAGTTCTATCAAAGAGGCGGAGAAGATGGACGTCTTCCTGGCACGAGGCTGTGGCACCCTGACCGTTGAACTCGCACCGGGAGTGTACGGGAAGGAACTTTTCCACGCGGGGAAAAGGGTGGCAAATCACGCTCGCCATATGCTGCACTTGATCAAATGGCCGGTGCTGATGACCAACAGGGTCCTACTTGGCATCGCTGGTCTGTGGTGGGGTGGCAAAGACACACGCAAGTGACTGCGTTACCGCTCGGTCCGAGCAGTTGGACAGTTGGAATCCGTCCTTCGACAACAAGATCGAAAATCGCATGAGACCACCAGGAGTCTTCAACACTTGGCTCAGGTACGCGGAAAACTCAGTTCGTGTGTTTGGATCCTGCTATGGTACAGAGCATATCCAAGAAAGGCTCGATTGTCTCCAAGCCCTGAAGGAGGCCCATGAAGAAGACGAGCATGCCTTCCCAGCTGCCTACTGCATCGAGCTCTTTGAGGAACTTGTCGCGGCTTGGTGCGAAGAACTGCGAGAAAGCAGAAGGAAACTCTGCTCTCTGCTGGGGACCGAAAATCCACGGCTTGAAGACCTGAAGCTGCTAGCTTTGGCGCCGGGAGCGGATGGGCAAGCAAACTTCCAGTTTCCAAGCATATGGGATCTGGGCGACCCGAACGGATATTACCAGACAGTTGTGGTACCCAGGCAGCAAAGGCAAATGTCGAGGCTGCTCCACAAGCAGCTGCACGACCACAACCTCAAGCAGAAGAAGACAGCTGGTCCAGCTGAAGATGAAGAGTCAAGGACAGGGAAAGCCCCAAAGCTTAACCTGAAAGACAAAGAGGCCGATGGATATGCGGGCGGCAGCATGAAATCAGCCTACCCAGCTGGAAAACGGCTTACACAAGGAGAAGCTTCACGGTCCGTGGAGCACGCACCTAAGGATCCCAAGACCAACAAACCTATCTGCTGGGATGTGGCCACGCACATGGGATGCACAAGAGGCGACAAGTGCCAGCACGCGCACGAGCCTTTGCCGGGATTGGCCAAACTTGACTACACAGTTGCCACGCAGGTCATTCGAAGAGGAGGACTCAAAGGTGGGCCGAAAATCGATCCCAAAGAGGTCGACGGAAGGGTCGCTCAGCTGCGGACCCAGGCAGCGGGGGATAAGGCCGACAAGATCCAACCTAGCAAGAAAGCGAAAGCAAAGCCCAAGCCAAAGGCCAAAGCTGGGAAGGAAGCTGAGGGTAAAGCTGAAGAAGACAAGGTTGGGAACACCCAGTGGGTCGCACCTGAAGACTATGATATCCCTCTGACCCATCTCGAGGCTGACTTGCAAGAGGCGGTTCAGGGCCCAGATGAGAGCTGGCTGCGAATACCCTCACAACCCACTGAGCAAGAAGCCGCTCCGGCTTGGGATGACCAGAGCCAAGAGGAGCGGGAAAGGCTGAAACGATGGAAGTCGCTGGAGGAGAAAGGGGTTCTGGCGGCCTTGGATTCGCCCACGGATTATCTCAGGTCCCATGTGATTGCACGCATGATGGCAGCACAAGATGAAGGATATGAACTGGAGCTGAACCGGTGTCTCGAAGATGCGGCAGAACATGGACATCCCGCGCTCTCTAAGGAAGCCGGACGTCAACTTGAGCTCCTCAAGCACGAGCCGAAAGCGGGTCACCAAGCGGATGTCGAATTTACGCCCATCACATGGGACGAGGGTATTGGTCATGGCCTGTTGAACTTTCAAGGAAACTTGTCGCATATCGGCTCAGTCACGGTCCGTGACTACCAGGATCGCTTGAATGCAAAAGACAGCGAGGTCCCACTGCAAGACGGGCAGTTGGAAGAAGAGCGCCAATGCCTGCCTCTTCATGTGGGTGTCGGGTTAGCGTTGGCCGATGATCCATCTGTAGAACTACGAGAGGCCGTAGCCAGAGCCAACCAGTTGAGAAAACATCTCTGGGATGAAGCAGTGGAGGCTCACGCACACCTTGGCGATCCGCCAGCGTGGATACCTGAGGGCGAGCACTTCTCGCGTCAAAACGTCCATGATTGCCTCTTTCCTCACCACGAGAAAGACTACCGCGCCTTGCAAACCCTCACAGGATCCATGCTGCAAGGATACACGTTGGCGGTCCTCAGGATTTCCTATTTTGGTCGGTTGGAGGTCGACCTGCTCCACGGAGATGATGCTGGCAATGGGAAGCTAGTTTTCGTTACCATCCACCGGGGGCATATGCGCCTGCTTCTTCCACAACAGCCCCAGCAGCTGTTGGATCACCTGAGGACTGCAGACAAGGTCACCAGGGAACTTCAAGTTGAACATTGGAGGGTGATCTTGGACCAGAGCAAAGTGGAGGATCAGATGGTTCCAGCCAAGTCCCCCGCCTGCACAAGATGCCAGCAACAGCAGCAAAGGCCTTATCGTGTTGGTGAAGGATTCCCGTTGCCACCGGCTTCATTTGAGTCCTGCTTGCAGGATGATCCACAGGCTCTTCAAAACAGCGGTGTGCCTCTGCGAAAAAGGCTTGCCTTCGCCTATGGGCCAATCGGTCAAGAGGTGTACGCTGGATGGGCAGGATGGACCAAGGGGCTTCAATACCAGGGGATCCCGTGCGGAGAACCCATTGAATACTATGAGGACCCGATCCAGCAAAAGGGCTTTAAGCCGCAGCATGATACCCGTGACCCGAAGGTCCGAGAACGATTGCTGCGACGTCCCCAACACTTGGCAGCTTGGAGTCGTTTGTACTTCCTTCTGCGACCACCAGCTGAAGAAGTGGCACTTCCTCAAGCCGGGCGATGTCCCTGAGTTCTGCACGAGGATTCTAGGTGTGCTGATCCTGAGTCTGGTGATGGCGTTCGGTTGGGTAGGAGCGCCAGGGGAGTTCGTGATATGGGCCACCGCAGCCCAAAAGCACCACGGGTCGTTCCGACCATGCCATCCTCAATTCAACGATGTGGTGCCCTACACGGTTGATGGATGACGGCGTGGTGGTAGAGCCACTAGTGGGGAATAGGATCCAGAGATCCCGGTCAAGCTATGGTATCAGTCTGGGGCCCTGGAGCCATCAATCTCGACAAGCTCGCCGAAGAAGGCACCCCGGCAAAATCCCAGCTCCTGTGGGGCCTACACCTAGACTTTGAAGAACAGGTTGTGGTCCTCCCGGAACCGAAGCGAATAAAGGCGAAGTATCTCTTAAGAGAGCCTCAGCTTCAAAGGGGGTGCCAACGAGTTCGTACCAAGCTGCTCCGAGAACTGGCAGTCTCCGCTCCGGAGATTGCACCCTATCTACCAGTCTTTTACAGGCTCCTGCAGCAGGAAGTAGGCGACCATGAATGGGTGAAACCCAGGGGCTCCGAGAGTGAGCTAGAGGCTGCCTGGGCTGAGTTCTGGGATGCGCTCGATTGGGTTCGCCTCCAGATGGAAAAGCCTTGGGGAACCAGTTTCAGAGCAGCTTTCGGCAAGCTCCTGCCGTTAAGGGAAAGGCTCGCACTCCCTGGCATGGCCGCTTCGGCCCGATTCGTTGCAGGAGATGCCACGCTAACCAGGCTCGGAAGCACTGATTGGAAGGATAGATGCTACCACATGGCGGACAGCAGCAGATACGTCAGGGCCGTGAGCGAAGTCGTAGGGGGCGGGGATCACTTGGAGATCATCGGAGTGATGGAGCTTCTGATTCATTGTCCGAAGGAAACCTGGCAGGGGCAACTGATCCTTTATGTGACTGACAACATGAATGTCAAAGCATGGTTACGTACCAGGCGCGCTTCAAACAGATACGTGAGGGCGCTCTTGCTGCTGCTCCAGCGGCTCGAAGCGGAGAATAGCTTCACTGTCGATGGAGCGTACGTCCGTACCTACCACAATACTCTCAGTCGACTGGCTGACAAGGGAGGATGAAGACAAGGTCCATGCGGAAATGGAAAGCAGTGGCTGGACCCGCCTCGAGCTCAATGAGGACTGGGAAGGACTCCTGCGAGAAGCCATGCGCCCCACGTTGAAGCTACCAGGGGAGAAGGGCCCGAGTGCAGCTTTAGCCATTCAGCTGGCCAACGAACAGCAAACCGTGCATGCCTTCCCCGCCAAGATCGAGCCAAAGCCATTCAAAGGGGGACTCGACCAAATCCGGCTATAGGGTCGGAACTACTGACGTTCGAGCTGGGGTGGGCCAAGGGCGGAGGATCGCAAGCCAGGCGCAAGCTGACTGGATCGTCTGTGTTCTCACTCAAGACCCAAAAGGGCGGGAGGCAGACCTCCTTCTAAAAACCCTCGCCAGAACTGATTGGAGAGGACGACTTATCGTTGACCAGCCCAGGGAGCTCTCTGAAACCAGCCGAAATCGCCTGATGCAGCTTCAGGTTCAATGGGGTCAGGCACAAGTGGTCGACTATCAGACTTCACACCACGGCAGCTTCTTTGCCAGGGCCAGAAGACATTGGCTTTTTGAAGGAACGGCCGACGAAAAGGAGAGAGTTCAAGCGTGGCGAGTTGCGCAAGTCAACGAGTGTCAGATGTTACCTCTGCGATCCGCAGAGGAGTCAGGTAAGGGATTATGCCCGCCCGACTACCTTTTCACGAGAGAACCAAACCTCATCACCACCGGAGACAAGTGGCTTCCAAAACCAGTCGGCCACTTGGTTGACGTGCGCGCCGGCAGCAGGCACCTGGTCCATAGCACACGGGGCCCAGCTTGCGGACCTAGGCTCAAAGGTGAGCGTCTCAAGATCCCAGGAGGCACCCTGTTGGAAGATGGGACGGGTCTGGTCCGTCCTCTCCTCCCAGAAGAGGTGTGGGAAATGCAAGGGGGCCTCGCAGAGGATTGGCGTTCCGCCGACTCGAAGAGAAAGGATCGCATGATAGCAGCTGCAGTCCGGGAGCCAGGCTGGCAAGTGGCTATGAGTCTCATGCAGGCTCTGACTGGAACCGATGGGAAGGCAGGAGTCCTGGACCCCGATGAGATCCAAGCCCACGAGCAACTAGAGGTCTGGCTGCGAGCGTGGGGGAGGAACCCGAAGGCTCCCTCTTCCGAGCTTTTCCTTACTTCGTGGAAAGAGCCACGTGTGGCAGTGGCACCCACTCATGAGTTCGTGGGAGCGACAACCCAGGCGAAAGCAGGCGGAGGCAAACGCACCACCGTGAAGCCAGCACTCAGTGAAGTGGAGAGGCTGGTCCAGCCCGCATCCAAAAGAGGCGGGACTACTGGGATCCCCCGTCCCCGAGGAGGGAGCACAGCAGAGCTTGACCAGGTAGCCATGGAAGCTGTCTTGGCCAAACTGGCTGATTCAACTCGCAGGGTCTATGCATCAGGCTGGAAGCAATGGGCGTTGTACAATGCCAGCTCGGGCACTCACCCGTTCCTTGACGGAGAAGAGCGCTCCGCTCGGACTGAAGACGAGCAGAGGTTGATTCGGTTTGTAGTATTTCTACATCAAGTCATGGGGAGGTCCATAGGTGGGGTCAGACAAAGGTTGTCAGCCATTCGTTATGCACATGTTGCGGCAGGATACCCTGATCCACTAGTCGGGCGACCTCGGTTGTGGGCAGCGGTTGCGGGTCTACAACGTTGGGAAGGCGCCCCAAAACGAAAGCTCCCTGTTACCCCCAACATGTTGCGATGTTTATCAGTTGTCGATCAAACCATGATCAAAGGAGCCCTTCTTACAGGTTGGTTCTTCATGATGCGGGCCAGTGAACTCTTGCCCAGTATCAATGGAGAAGACCCCATGAATAGGGCGCTCCGCCCAGCTGATGTTGCTTTCTTTTCGTGTGGGCAGCCTACCATATAGGCGCCAAGGCCGATGAAGTCGTGGTGCAGATTAGATCTTCAAAAACCGATCAGTATGGTAGGGGCCAAACACGGTCACACCACCGCTCCGGTGGAGATCTCTGCCCTGTTGAAGCCTTAGCCGCGCTACAGGTCCTACAGCCCCATCGGTGGCGCAGCCCTGAAGACGAGGCGCCTTTGTTCCGCTATGAAGACGGGACGGGGCTTGACAGAGAGGGCATCACCCATTTCATCAAGATAGCTGCATTGGCCGCCGGGTTTCCTGGCGAACTCGCTGGTTCACACTCACTGCGTAAGGGGGGAGCCACTGCATTTTTCGCAAGTACTGGGGACTTAGAAAGGCTTAAGAGGTACGGTGGTTGGTCATCCGATGCTGTTCATGCTTACCTTTATGAAGATCATACCGCTCAGAAAGGGATTTCAGAAGGGATGTTGGGTACCAGCCTCATTACACTCCCCAGCCAAAAAGACCCCGGGGCCCGTAGGCATCCAGCGGTTGTTCCAACTGAACCCCAAGAGTCCTATCCTGGTTTATTGGGGGTCCCTCAAAATGAGTTATTCCATAACAGTCATGGAGGATCAAACCCTTTTAGCAGCCCAGTTGCCACGAAGCGAACATCCAGAGCTCCTCGAGGCTCAAACACCAATCGTGCATTTTCGTGGGCACCAGATCGTAAGGTATCGTTTGCAGTGAAGGCTGGTGCTATGGATGCTACTGATGAAAGTGCCGATGGGGGACGAAAGCCAGCAGCTCCAGATCGAGCCAATGCAGCGAATCTCTTTGTAGCAGCTCACCCAGGACTAGATCTTTATCAATTCCTGGGTGTTCCACCCGGTGCGACTCCAGCTCAGGTGCTCACCGCATATCGTCGCAGGTCCCGCGAGACTCATCCAGACCGCTTTGCAACTGCTGGGGAAGATGTCCAGAAAGCCAAAGGAGAGGAGTTTAAGATGTTGGGAATGGTCCGAGAGATCCTCTTGGATCCACTGATGGCCACTCAATACATGAGGTGGAGACAAGAGCAAATTGCTGCAAAGCATGGGCGAGGCCGTTCCCCAGTTGTTCCAGCTGGTGTCTATGCCAAGCAAGCTTCATCATTCCAACAAGCCAGATCAAGTTTTGATCGGTCCTCCACTCCTGCTGGCGCAGGAGCCAGCAGCTCGGGAGGAGCAGGCCGGGAGGTGCCTCGTAAACCACCCCCCCCTTCACAGGGATATCCTGGAGGAGGAGCGCAAGGAGGACCGCCCCCAGCCAAAGCCCCTCCTGCTCCAGCAGGGACCGCGCAAAAGCCAAGGAAACCTCCACCGCCCGCGAATCCGCCTACTCCGAGCTCAAGCGCGAAGCCAAGGAAAGCACCGCCACCAAGAAATGATGATGGGAGGCCCAGAGGACCTACCACCCCACCAATGCAAAAAATGGCACCCACGCAAGCTATTCCAAAGGGAGCACCGCTAACACCAGCCAAGCATTTCCCCAGGGCGACCCAACCATACACTGGAGGGGGCATGGTGGACGATTTGCGAGTTCCTCGCATCGCACTGGCAGATGCAGGGGTGAGAGAACGATCAGACGCTCCGTCTGAGTCTTGGTGGTCAGAGACGTCATCCAGATATAGGGCCCCTTCGAGCTGGTTGGAGCCCGGGTCTGAGGACCTTCCACCGGAGAGCACCGTCCCAGACAACGAGGATGACTATGTGTATGTTGAGGTGGAAGCTGAAGACGATGACATGGACATCCTCCAAGACCACCAATTCGATGAAGAAGATTGGGATGAGCCGGCATGGGAAGAGCTCCCTGAGGAGGGGAGCGGGTCTGAGCAAGTCTTCCAAACCTTCGATCAAGCCGTGATGCAAGGACTGCTCCAGTTCATGGATTTCATGAACAGAGGACGGGCCAAGATGCTGATTGAAGGTGCTCCACCTATTATGACTTCTGTCCCAAAAGAGGTCCGGGAGGCATGTTTGGGAGACCATCCGGGGCTTCTAAAAATGCATCCCAGCGCAAAAGCATGGCTAATGGCAGGGACGAAAGGTGTCGAATTCAAGAAGCCACCACCTCCTAAGCCTCCCATGCTTTCGGCTCCCCCAAAGGTGGCTCCGCCGCCACTTCCAAAGCCAGCTCATCCAGAACAGGTACCTGAGCCAAAGGAGCCGCCGAAAGCCCTAGCCCCCAAACCAGTTCCTCCAGTGCTGATGCACAAGACACCAGCACCAAAGAAGCCCCCTCCGCCACTGCCAGCAGCCAGCTATATATGCCATGCCGGCAAGAGCTATGGGACTCGGTTCAGGCGCAACAGCATCATCTTCTGAGGGCGCTCCGCCCACTGAGGTGAACCACTTTGGGTTTGACGAGTCTGAAGTCGACTATGGTGATGACGATGATCGAACCCCTGAGGAGAAGGCAGAAGATGAGGAGCTGCTCGAGAAGACCAAGACGAAAGTGGAAGCTTTCCTGCGAGCACCCCCAGAGATGAGGAAGACGCTTCGCTCCCAAGCATGGAAGCGGTGCAAGAGCAAACTGGAGGAGCTCAACTTTGAGTTCAGCACTCGTCCACTGCCCGAAATGCACCCAGGCAAATTCGAGAAGGATCTCAAGGATGGCTTCACCTATGCGGAGGCCAAACAACGCCAAAAGGGCCGGCAACGGGCCGCCCGACATCAGCGAGCCTTGGCTGAAATGGAGGGTGCCTCCTTTGAGGATTTCCCGAAATCCTGGTCACATGGGTATTCCAAGCAAGTCCTGAAGCCGGGTTTCCTCGAAGAGAAGAACAAGGAGCGGGCCCGCCGAAAAGCTACAAAGGCCAACTATCGACCTCGCCAGTCAGCTGCTCCAGCTGCTGCATCCAACCAGGCTGAAGCTCAAACCACGGCCAACTGGGAAGCAGGAAGTCAATGGCATGACTGGCAAGCGAGACGCAGCAGTGAGTGGCAATGGCATCAACCAGATGTCACACAACGGAGAGATGCAAATGCCGCAGACGATGACGACTGGGGCAACTGGACCAGAGATGGGCAACGAGGCAGCAACCAAGATGGCTGGTCCAGCTATGACTATGGAAACCATCAGGGTCGACAGTGGAACCAGTGAGACTTTGCCGTGGCAATTCTGCATTCATCCGTGTTCCATGGAGGCTTCAACGTACAGGTTGCCTACTGAGAGCCGGGGAATGTCTGAGGCAGCCTTGATTCTTTGTTTCACGGTCGATACCATGTGGGTTTTCTTTTGCATGTCCACTGTAGATTTTTATTTGGCGGATGCCCATGCCTATTTCGGGGGGATATGCCGCTGACAGAATGTCGGCTGGCAAGTCTCTCTGGGTGAGTGGTTTGTACAGAGACTGCACCACTCGTCACAGACAAAAATAGGAGTCGTGAGCGCTCCGCTTGTTTTGGTAGCATGTCTCTAGCTAACTTGGATGTTCACTAGAACGGAGGGTTAGCGTGTTTTGCTACTGTCATTTTGGGCTCAAGTCTTTGCCCATTTTGATTGTTGGCCCTCCCACCCACCCGGGGGGATATGCCGCTGACAGAATGTCGGCTGGCAAGTCTCTCTGGGTGAGTGGTTTGTACAGAGACTGCACCACTCGTCACAGACAAAAATAGGAGTCGTGAGCGCTCCGCTTGTTTTGGTAGCATGTCTCTAGCTAACATACATATAACATAAAACCTATGCTGGGGATTAAAATCCCCCGGTGCTGAGGAAGGCAACTACTGGGCTGGTGTTTTGTGGTGAGGGCTTGGCCTCGGAGTATCTGACTCCACTCTGAGGTCTCAAGAATCTCAAGCGTTTCAATCACCATTCCCATGTTCATCAATTTTCCACACAAAACATTCCCTGAGATTCGGATGGCCCATTCTCTCAAAATTCATTCCCCAAACTTCCCCAAGATCTTGATCCACGACCAACACAAAGAAATCAATTGATCTGAAATGTTGGGTCCATACGTCATCATCATGTTCCCTATTTCGGTTCGCTATAACTCTTGACCCTCCCATGTTTTACAACTGTTACGAAAACCAGCTCGGCTTCTCATAGCGGCTTAGCGGCAGAATTGGAAGATGCGCTCATTGTCGCCCTCAAACAAGGCATAGGCCAAGGACGCGAGCGCTAAGAATCCAATCCCAAAGGCCAGGCATAAGGCGAAGCCCAGAGAAGCACCGACATAAACCTACAGCTGGACGGCAGGCGTCATCTTTGGGCAGTAAAAAGGGTCATAGGATGATAAGTTGGGATATACAGACAAAATAACCCCTGCTGCTATGATTATATCACCACTTCTTAGTGTTTGATATGTCATTTAATATATTATAGCCCTTGAACTTCACCGCCGCAAAGTCGACGACAGCAGAAGTATGGATATGAACTGGCATCATCCCGGACCTATTTGGGGATCATCATACCATTTTTTGGGGAGCACGCAAGAGCCATTCAGAAATCATCGAAACCACCGAATGATCCCTTCTTGGAACTGGGCTGGTCCATGAACGAATGGTCTTCAAAGTCTGTGACACCAGTGTGATAGAAAATTGGGATGAAACCACGTTGCAACAATCGATGATGCGGTCCAAGAAATTTTGTAACGGAAAAATTAGACATCCACAAAACCCTGCAGCTCTTCTTGCACCAGAAACCTCCCGGCGGAATTTGTAGTACAAGCCCTCCTCCAACATTCCGTCTTGCTTCATCTTCTGCAAGAACTGCAAGATGATAGCAAGGACAATGACCACCTCCAAACCTGGGATTTGCTTGAGATGGCTCTGATCCCAACAAAAATAATCCCCAAATAGTAGATTTGCCAATGGCAAAACAAACAAAATGAGCAACTCAGCAAACTTGCTGAAAATCCAAGAGACTCTCGCGGAAGAGCACCACAAACGCAGGCACGGAGAAGTAGATATTGGCCACACCGGAGCGAGGTGCTGCTACGGTGATGTTATCACGCAGCCCCGTGGCAGCATCCACGCAATCGCAGCCTTGAAGCCATTCCACGTGACCATAGATCTCTGCACATTGCATGTCCTAAGCCAAAGAAACAAACATTGGGAAATTGATGGAAATTGAATCTGGGAAATGGTGTGCCTCTCAGAAAGCAGACTCTCTTTTCAAAAAAGAAAGCGGCTTCTAAAGGCAAAAAAATTGCCAGAACAGGTTAACTGCAGGACAGCCCAGCTGAACTACCTGGATGTCCTGCAATTTTTCCCGAGCTTCGTTGAGACCAGGATGACAGGCTTCATCCTCTTCATCCCAGCAGCCCCATTGGCAGATCTTCCCAGTGGTGTTGGGCGTCTGGCCCCGTGTCAATATCCACAGGTTCCACAGGCACAACAGCCGCAGCACGAGCATGGTGAAGTCGCAAAGTCGCAGAGTTGGACGGTTGAAACGGAGGCCCTCGTGACTTGGACCTGATATCAGTTATATATCGGGTATAACCTCCAAGTAGAATAGGGTCCAGGATGCTGAAAGCCTCAGACTTTTGCATGATTTTGCGTTATGCCAAATAAGCCTTGGAATCGGCTTGGTTACCAACTAGAAAGAGGGGGGGCCACTGGTCAAGATTGGAACCATTCCAATTGATCGGAAAGCGTGAAGGAATCTCGGGTCAAAATGATTCTTCCAAAGAGCGCCATTGACCCTCCTGGATAGTTAAAGACCCACAAATACCCAGATTGCTACGGCGCCGCAGCTTCTTGGCCATCCGAGTTCAACCAGTCATGTGGCGCTGCCAATTCCGCGGACTTTTTCAGCATGAAAGGATCAGTGCATCCCCATTCGTTGTGGATGCTCCTGCCTTTACAACTCTAGAACTTTCATGATTTGACGAGAGCCACAGGGATGAAGTGACCAGCGTACCTTAGTGACCTGACCTTGATCAATACACACCTGCAGTTCACTTGGTCCATGTCAATCAGGAAAGCCCGATTAAAACTCGACTCGCTGGCTGGCAGGCACCTATACAAATCTCGAGCGGCGCAGACTTTATATAACGATAAGTTAGGATAACAGATCTGATTCTTCTCATCAAATAGAAACATTCAGCCTTCCTGCCGCTCCTCCGGAGGTTCATATGGTGGGCTATTTCAACCCACGCCTTGTCAAGAAAATACGGGGATTCAAAAACAATAAAAATAAAAAAACATTAATTGCAAGTGTGATCAGTCAGACTTTTCAGACTTTCTCCGAAATCCAAGGAGCCCCTTCAAGTGACTGGATGGCTGCATCGCTGATTCTTGACTCCATTTCAGTGCGTCTGAAAATGAGGTACATCCTGGATGATTCACGAGTGGATTTTAGAGGTCTACCCCATTGTTGGACAAGCCCATTTTCAAGGGTCCCAAATTGCTTGGCATGTTGGTAGCAAGGCCATTCGGTCGAATGATGGTTTCAAAACATCGCCGAGCTCCATCAAGGGGACGAGGCAACTCTGAATTCTGTACCGGTTTGTGGGGAAGAAGAGCCAACTATCTCACTTAAACTCTGTAGACCGAGTGCTAATCTTTCAATCAGAAGACCATGTCGAATCATCAGAAATAGCTGAAACATGCTCACCTACCAACCAGTACTGTACTTAGAAAAAGATCGCCAAGATTGACAGGGGCATTGCCGCTGCCACGCTGGCGGTAAAGCCGCTGTTTTCCATCTCCGACTCCGAAGTGCTCGGGATGGCCTTGCCTCAGCGTTCAGAGTGACTAGTGACAGTGACTAGTGACAGTGACTAGTGAAGATCTACCAAGGAAACTCTGGTTATAGCTGGAGCAGCTGGATGGTGATTCCCCCATGGTGAGTTCACAGGCAACTTGACCCATCACATCATCTAACGATCACCGATCACCAGGCCACACATGTCCACCCAGGCGGTGGAGGAGTCGCCCAAGGTGGCGCTGTTCCCCGTATCGTCACAGGCGGTGGCCAGGCAATGGCCGGAAATCTCTCTGACGTCCTTCCAGGTGCCCACCATGGCCTGCGGTGATTTCCATGGCGGTTTTGAATGGTGACACCAATGGTTGGGGATGGTTGGGGTGTTCCCCTCACATTGTCAGATAAACCCACTTTAGATACCTTTAGATCATCGGTGGGGATCAAAAACGCTGGGTTGAGTCTGTTTTTCACATCAAAAGAAGTGGCAGTTGTGGATGTCTATGCCAATACCCATCATCGTATTGTCATCAAAGGTTCCCAAAATGTCTACAGAGAAACATCCAACTTGTTGACAATAATTGGCATAATGTGCAGGTACCACTACTTTGATTTGCATCCCGGGTAGAAAGCGGCTCATACGCATGGAGGTATAATTTGCTTACATATATGCGTTGCATAGATTTAGATATATATATATATAGATGCATGTATGTATATATGCATACATAATATATATATATATGCATATTATGTGTACATATATATATATGCATATTATGTGTACATATATATATATATGGTATGTCCCCACTTATGTACAAACAAAGGTGTATGTATGTTCATAAAACATTTCATACATCATTATTATCAACCACCTGTTCAATGGAGTGCACATCAATAGCAACAGTATAGCACAGTAGAGAACAGTGGGAAACGAGAGAGACCACTAGAAATAACAAGAGCAATGCAGCAAATAAGTAGAAGAGAGAGTAGTAAGTAGAGAAAGAGTAGCCAACTGCAGAGAACAATAGATGGCGCAGATGCTACAATTTATGGCCCTCAATGTAATTCCGCCATGCCCCTTGAGTTTGTGACATCTTCCTACCGTAGATGGACGAAAAGATCAAACCCTATCGTACAAAGTTCGGCTCCCGCCCTAAATTTCAATGTGGCGTTTTGGCTGCGTGGTTGGGAGCGGTGAACAAGAATATCAAACCTTCAACACAAACCAATGTATCCGATCATGTCCAATATTGAAATTGACGGTCTGGGGTTGTTCTTATAGTTGGCCCCTTCAGGGTTTGATTTCTTTGTCCATCTACTGTAGCCTGATTCGCTTAGACTCTGGCAAAGAAGCATAGCTGGCCAGTAAAAAAACACCCAACAATTTAATTAGCAGATTTCCCTGTGCAAATCGTGTTTTCGCATTGCCAGGTTGGAATTTCCCAGAGGCGAGGAATCTGACACCAAGCAACGCAAGTGATGCCCAGGTCTGGGTACATCGGTTCCAGCAAGCTCTTGATCGTACAATCTGTATCAGCAGGCATATCCGTCAAAGATAGATCAAACAACGCATCGACCTGCGCGTATCGACTTGGAACTTTCTGTTTCAAGCAACTGCATCGTTTCTGCCCAAAAAAAAGACACACACTGGCAACCCCAACAGAGGGGGTTGGAAGAGGATGTTCTTTGTTTTTTCAAAGTTCCACCTTCAATTTTCAAGGTGTACTTTGAGGAAGGTTCCGGCCTGCTGCACAATTGTCTTGTTCACCGTTGATATGTACCTGGACAATGGCGGCAGAGCCTCTGTCTCGCAGCCCGAGGTTTCTGGGGTATTTTCTCCTGTGGATTTTGCCAGTCACTTTATAAGCAGGTCAGCAGCAGGAGCCTTTCTTTGCAGTACAAAGTATACACAAGTCAATTGGTAAAAGATGTGAGGCAATATGCGATATTCACAGATTTACCCCGACATGTGGCCGAAAATTCATGAAAATTCACCATCTACAAACAGCCAAATCCAGCCCAAAAAACTCCAAATCTCAAAAACTCGGAGGTGCCCAGAGGCGCTTCGCCAATAGGCCCAACCTTCTGCCAGGTATTTCTCCTGAAACGTCCCGTTGTTATAAGCCTTATTGGCATACTTCAAGGCGCTTCGGATGGCCGCAATGGAGTAGATCTTATACATCGCCAGCTGTGCTGAAGCCACATTGGCTGCATTGTAGGTGCCACGCACGTTGAGCAAACCAAAGTTCAAGGTGGGTGGAGCCGCTGCATGGGTTGATAGACCATCATCAAAGTCGTCATCACGCTTCCAGTTGAACCTGTAAAAATGACTGACACCACTGCAACAAATGTCGCTTAGCCATAAGGTACCTCCAAATCCATGAAATTATCCTTCACGTAATCAAATATAAATCAGCTCAGAACATGTTGGGACCCGATTTCACTCAAAGGAAGTATTACATTTTGTTTGCGCCGAAATGGGGCTGTTTGAACTTCTATTGACCAAATCGCCTAAATCATGAAATCGATTTCCCAAGTCTCATCACCGTCCCCTCTCCAAGCAGCTCATAGGGAGAGTAGAGGTTTCCAGGGGCTTTCCCCGTGTACCCATCTCCAATCACAGGCTCGATGTTGCCAATGTGGAAGGCAGCCCCTTCATCCCAGGCGTAAGCCGCCTGGACGGGGACTGTAATGAGAAATTCCATGGGATATATAACTCGTTGTCACCAACAATAAATATGTATCTAGTCTAATATGTATCTATATATTCTCTTCAAGATGGTGGATTTACATGCCTTGCACCTAGTGTAGCCATGAAAGCATGGGGGAATGATCATGAACTACTGGATTTTGGGCTACCATCACTAAATGAAACCCACCTCGTCATCAGCGGTCATGTTTTCTCCAGCTTTCCAAACAGCTGCCCCCAATTCATAGGTCGCGTAGGCCGTCACCACTCCGATGAGACACTTGTTGATGATGTATGACTTGAAGTCATGTGACTTGCCTGGGCAATTGTGATCCCAGCCACAGTATCGTTTCACTTCCAGTGATCCCCAAACTCCCAACAAGCTTTCGACAAATGACTTGAAGTGCCTATTAACATATCCTGTCCTGCCATGCGCCAATACCGTTCTCGCAGTCAAATAACCGCCCTGGACCCGATGTAGTTTGTGTGCATACAGTGTCTATACATAACAAATTGATCTACAACTACCAGGACACATGTCAGTCCATGTGTTGCAGTACACGCACATCCGTCCCCTGTTCGGTCCACATTGTGACAGGTGGCCTGCGCAAAAACCGGTATCGTCCAGGCAGGCGATGATGTAGTTGTGCCAAATTCCATCAATGGATCCGTAGAGATCCAACGCTCCCGAGAAGAAGACATTGGTGTATTTGCCATTGACCGTCATGTCCTGCCAAAAAGGTCGAATTGGACAAGATGCACAAGATATTCTGGAAAATGCAAAACACGCCTGAAAATTCACATTTCAGATGATTTGTCTTCTCGCATTGTCAAAGTTCAAACTACATCCGGCTGAGTTTACGCACTGGCATCTGTTAGCATCAATGGACTTAGTGACTTGTCATCAGGATGAGCACATGGGGCCAACATGGGCCAACACAAACAGACTCGACATCCACCAGCATCAGAGGGGATAACTCGCGACCAAAAGGCTGGATGTTCTCAACATGAGGCAAGGACAAACAAAACCTGCGGTTCACTTTGGAAACGAAAAATCTATAGGAGGACCCTCACTAGGTCCGAAATCCTCCTGTGATGATGGGGACTTTCCACCGAAACGTGTCTAGAACAGGGCTATAGTGGATAGTGGTCCTCAACTCTCATCTAGGTGATGTGTCCATAAACCCCATTAGATTGCCAAAATCCCCACCATATCTATACAATTGGCACATCCTTGAGGTTGTGAGTGAGTACCTCAAATTTTCATAGTTAATCATGGTTCTCGATGTGCAAGTTCAAACACGTGCTAGCAACTGCATGGCACCGCTACCTTTTCACGCATGACTGGGGACCCTTGTGCCTGAAAGGGTCGACAAGCATTCGAATCAATCCATGCCGGTTGTTGTTGGCATGACAAATGAAAACATGTGCAATGAGGACATGCAGTGCATTCACACTGCTACAAAATACCTGCTTCTTGTGTTGATTCAGCAGGGTTTCGAAAAGGAAAATCAAAGCACCCTAGGGAAATCAACTGCCACCAATTTCCAGCGTGCATTTCTTTCGTCAAGATGTCACCGAGCTGAAGATGTGTCGGCATCCAATGCAAGGGTGGTCGGCACGGTTTGTCGGGAGTTGGATCTCCGACGGTGCCGTACTTCTCATGCCATTGATGTTTGGCTTCCCTCATCAGAATCTGGCGGAGACCTGCCAGGTCAATTGCCAATCTCTTCTCCGCAGGCGCTTTTGGAACCCCCTCTCGATGAAGATGATCATAGAGACTGCGACAATCCGTGACACAGTGGAGCGGCGCAAATCTGCCACTGTCGTCTTCAGAGATGGAAATCCCTCTTGCAAAAGAGAGGAAGAGGCACCGAAGAAAAAGAGCACTTTCTACGCCTTCGCAACATGCCATGGTTTCGCCAGCAAAAGTTGACCTGCACACTCTGGTACTACCCTTGCTTTTCCAATCAATGATGCTGAAGTCGCTTTTGCCTTCAATGAAGGCCTGCTTGCTGGTGACTAAGACTAAGCTACCAAGTTGGGATCGTAATTGGTGATCCCCCAGCCACTGAAGGTCATTCTCAGATCCTTCTTCTGAGACGTTTGCCCATGCGGCATCATGAAAAGTGACAAATGCAATCTCCTTCTCCGCCACATACCTCAAAACAATCCCCTTGTCCTGAAACGCCAAAGCCGCATCCACCGCTTTATTCGTTTTCTTGATGTCATCCTGCGATGGATTGTTCTGACGTTTCTGAGCCTGGGAAACACAAAACTGGAGGTCAGGACGGGTCTGTTTCGCCAGCCAAGACAAACTTCCTATTGAAGTGCGGTTCTCTTCGATCTGTTCACGGCTTGTTGAGCCGTCAGGCAAAGCCTTGGCTGTGACCTTGTCAACTCTCCCAGCCGTGTAATGCTTCTGGGTAATGTGGATCTCAGTAGGAGTACATTTGTACTCGCAGCCGACGTACTCAAACTCGTCGGCCACCCACTCTTCCACTGGGAACTTCTCTTGCAGAGCTTTCTGAATAGGCTCTACCAAGTCCTTCTCAGTCATGAGCATTATGTCATCAACATGGGTCAGCAGGATGCCCCTCACATTGCCACCCTCATGCGTGTCACAAACCTGAAAGACGCAAGGGTCGATGGTGTTCTGTTTGATGATCAAAGTTCGCCCAGTAATGGTGATCTTGATTGCAAGGATCTCCTTGGAGAGCTTCATCCACCATAGTTTGGGGCTAGTTGATAAACCAAACACTCCTTTGAGAACTTCGACCAATTGACCCTGTGACAAAGAAGGGATGCCATTCTTGGGCTGAGAGAAATAGAGTTTGCGTGGTGCAGGAACCCCATTCAAAAACGCAGCTTTGATATCCCCAACGCTGACATGCCACCCTCGGCAAAGACAAAGTTGCAACGCCAAAAGAATGGAGTGGCGGCAGGCAGTGGGAGCGTCGACCTGCATGTCAACTCGCCCGAGGTCAGGGTCACAATGTCCAGCGATGCAGAGTCGTGCCTTAGGCTTGGCAGGCACTGAAGGATCGCACTTTCTCTTTGCGTAGTTCTTGTCCTTATATGCAAAACGAGACCGCAAAATGCGGTCGGGTGACACCCTTCGGCGCACCTCTTCAGACTCTGACAAAGATAGAGGTCTAACGGCGCCAAACTCCACATGCTCCTGCCACTGTTTCAGCTCGGCCTCACGGTACATCTCCCTTTCATCTGGGGGTATCAAACCCCAGGGGAGCTCCTTCTCAAGTTGTTTCTCCTTCCCCTTCTCGGAGATGCATCGCTTGACCATGAACTGGACTCTGGGCTTCTTCAAGCAGGCAGGCACGTCATCCAAAGCTTGAGACCTCCTGACAGAGCTACGAATCAGGTCTTCTCGCGCAGAGACCTGCTCCCATAGACGATCTTGGGGGCCAGGGACTCCTCCATGCAAAGGATCTTCCACCTCCATGTCTGCTCCAGCAGGTTGGTTGACGTCTGTGTCCACCACCATATCTTCTGTTGGAGCTGCACCATCATCAGCTTCTTCATATTCTTCGCCTTGGAGAGAAGTCATCAAGTTGCGGACTTCCTTCATGGCCATTTTGATCCGGAGGGTTTCGCCCACTTCTTCAGCATCTGCAGGCCTGATGTGCTCGGGCGCTGCAAGAAGGCATCGACCGCCCCTCGCCATCCAGTAGTTGGAACCTTCTCGGCCGATAACAACGGCCGGTCCAGTCCAAGCAGCTGAGGGTTTCTTGCCCTTGCCCTGGCGCATCTCTCGGTAGATGAAAACCATGTCACCCACGTTGTAATTCTCTGGTTGGATGCGCGGCTTGTGAAGGATGGCTCGGTCAAGGGCATCCTTCGTCTGGCATCTGAAGAAAGCTGCCCGTGCGCCATTCTTGATCACAGTGCTCCGGGCAAATTTTGCATCGGGGCTTTCGACGGGGATAGATGCCATGTCATTGGTGCCGTCGAAGAGATCCCCGATCTGTCGGCCATTTGTACCAAACACCCATTGCCTTGGAGAAAAACCACTGCGATTGCGGAGCTGATTCTTTGCGTCAGACACGGCAGCACAGGCCTCCGTGAACTCCTCCTCTAAGATGAGGTGCTCCTCCAGAAGCTTTGCATAGATCTCCTTCCAGCTGCCTCCATGCCGCTCGCAGACTCCGTTTTGCCAATGGGCCTGACCGGCGGCACTCCGCACAATGATGCACTTTTCATCCATCAAAGTGAGGAACTGGTCCTTGAACGCTGAGTCAAGGTCAACCAAAATTTGGCGAGGTGCTCCCGCCCATTGGATCCAACCTGAGGTGAATGCCAGGGAAACATCAGAAGACTTCGTTCCCGGCAGGGGTATCACCACCTGGTAGGTGGATGCCAGGTCGACGATGTTCAGTGCTGGAAGGTTGCGTTTGTCGGCCGTGTCAACCCAGAGAATGTCAGCTGCAACGACCTCATTGAAGTCTAATGCCACTACCGGGGCGCTGACTCTGTGTGGCTTTGCCTTGCTGCTCTTCTCACATGTCCTACAGACCAGCTGTTCAGCCGCGTGCAAAACGGATTGTGGGGCCTCGCCAATCCGCAGGTGTTTGATGAGTTCACGATTTGGAGGATGACCCAAGTTCTGATGCACCCTCCTGAGAGCAGCAGCTATCGTAGGATTGACCTTCCCCTTAAAGCTGATGGCTTTGGCTCCATAAGGCTCAGGATCAACTGTCTCTTGAGCTTGAAGGGGCAATGCCGTGGAAGAAGTTGAGGCTGTAGGAAAGGCCACATGATGCTGTTGACTCTTATCGTAGCTCTTCAAGACCGCATTGGCAAAGGCAGTGGGGTAGACCGCCGAGTGGGCAGTGTTAGCCCCATGAATAGGCATGTGCTCGTGTCCTCCATCACAGAGTCGTTGAATATGCTGTGCAAAAACCTCATTGGAGCATAAAAGGGAAAGAGGTTTCAAAAGAGGGAAGTCCCCTGAGATGTTCTTCATGCCATAGCTGCAAAGATCGGCCTTGGCGATCTGGGCTCTCCCACTGGAAATCCAGTCTTGGAAATCAGGGGTGCGCCAAATGTCGGACCCCCGAGGATTCTCCACCACAAATTGACCTCCCAGTTGCACCTGGAGTCGCATCACCTCATCAGCAAACTTGATGAGCTTCATTTCCCGCCGACGTAGTCTGCGGCGTTCTTGGTCTCCGTAGTTCAACCGGGAAAAATTGCCCCACACAGTGCACGGGGGGGCCATCCAAACCAGTCCTGGGCGATGTGCTGCTATCTCGCCGACGATCTCGTTCTGTGTCTCTTCATGGCGAAAATCATGACCGTAGAGCAAATCTCTGGGGTGAAGGACTCCACGATGTTTCTTGGCAAAAGCCTCAGAAATACGGGCCTTTCCCGCAAAGAGCTCCAAGCAGTCCACCTCCCTGTTCCCACCTGGCTGCAGCTGTGAAGAGGACGTGAAGACCGCCCGCACGTCTGCCATGGGTTCACCAATCACCTCTCCAGCAAAACTAGACATAGCCCCGAGGCAGGAGGTGAAAAGAGTGCATAGAAATACCATGTTGCTCTTCAATTTCTTGGAGGTGGCCATGTTCATTTTCTTGCGAGCTCGCATGCCCTGTTTCGCCTTTTCCCGGGGTGACAAAATGTCACTCATACGCCCATTGTTTTCGCCGGTGAACTCCTTTGTCTGGTCACCCATGTCAAAATCAAACTCTTCCTCAGAGTCAGTCTCCGCACCACGGAGTTCATATTCAACAGACCATGGCTTGTTGCCCTTCGAGATGTCAGTGCCAAAAGGTGTCTTGTGGCCATCAGACTCAGAGCCGCTGAGTTCATAGATCTTGTCCTTAATCTTGTCAAAGACACCCGCAAAAACCTTGCCCTTGTCAATCATATAGGCATGACATCCGCTAGCAAGCCCATGGTTCAGTCGTCCTCGTCCACATTGATCATCCTCGCGTCCAGGGCTCGGCGTTCCTTCAAGGTCGCCAGGCATGTCTCCAACATCCTGATCTCGTCGATCTCGTTGGCTTCTTCCTCCGCAGCCGCCGCGCTTGCACTCATCTCCTGCAAGCGGCGCGTGCGGCGGGGCTGGGGAGCAAAATTGCTCACTCGGCCCAAGGACGAATCCGAGCCCGTCCCCTCCCGCAACTCGGCTGCCGACGGCGGAGGAATCTTTGCCATAGCCTCCGGATCCTGAGACGGGTCCTTGGTAGGGTGCTTCTCCTTCAGGCGCTCCAGCTCGCACTTCCCCCAAGTTGCCAGTCTCTCCAGATCGGGGTGGCAATTCTGGTTGCCCTCGCATTCTTTGACCGCCCACTGCAAGTAGGCCACTGGTACTTCCCGATAAAGCCACCCCTTGAACTTGCCAAAAGGGACAATGGTCTCCGCCGGAGTTGCTTTGGATTCCCGCAGAACCCGGATCAGCCAGCCCCTGGTAGGCTTTGGTGGCAGGGTGATGTTCAACTGACGGGCTTGATTGGTCAGCTCTTCCAGGGTGAACTTTGTCAGGCCCTTCATGTCGTCGGGACCCTTCTGAGAAGGGTGCAGATTGGCTTGCCTGGTTTCCATCACCATGCTGCGCAATTCCGGTACCGTCCAAGAGGGGTGGACTGGCACTTGATTCTTGATCAGCTCTTTCTGCAGCTGCTCCTTGTTCATTTTCCATGCTGAGGCCAAGGTCGAGGCTGGCATGGGAAAGAGGCACGACGATGGAAGGATCTCGACCCGAGGTGCTAGGCTCGAGCTTCGTGAATCGGCTGCGTCCGATCCAAAGTCCAATCTCTTCTTCAGGTTCAAGTTGGACATCAAACTTCTTGTCATGATGAATCTTGACGACAACTCCATCACTCAAAACTGGAATCATTTCAGACCTTCTTTCACCCAAGAGGCAAGAAAGCAGAGAATTTCTCAAAGAAGACTGAGTCGTTTTCCACTTGCTAGGATCAAAAAGGAAACGTCTTGGGACCACATGCACTCGAATCATCTCTTTCTCCGTTTCAACCCAAAAATCTTTGCTTTGGTTTGCATGTGACCACCAAGAGAAAAACGCTGCAGCACCGACTGTGTCATCAGAATTGAGCATGTTGAGAACTTCCAAAGGGACCTTCTTGGGATAGAAAATGTTCTTCTCAAAACTTTCTTTTGAACTGCAAAAATCAGAGACCCTTGACAACCCTGCAGCCGCAACCATGTACACTCGCTCGGGCACCCAAACATCGTCAAAATCTAAAGGAAAACCGCCGGGAGGTGCATCCTCTGGAAACTGAGACACCGGCAGAGCTGGGTGACCTGTGTCACTGGTTGCAGTATTCAAGCCATCTACGTTGAGGGCTTTGAGAGACACTTGCTGAGCTGCTAAATCGTACTGCACGCCCAGCTTGGAAAGAACTGGCCTGCTGAAAAGCAGGGGCACAGGGCATGGGACTATGGCGACTTTCACCATGAACCACTTGCCTTGGATTGCAAACCATCCGCACACTGCAAAGCTGGAGCTGTAGATGCGGGAGGCACCAAACTGGAACTGGTCCACCTCGTCCACAGCATGCCAAGGGATGCCAAGGTTGTCGGCCATCTCATAGAATTTCTGGAACCATTGGTAGCCGGCCACCGACTTGGTGCAGGCAGTATCCAAGATGGCTAACATCTTGTCGTTGTCCTTGTCCTCAAAGTTCACTGGGCAAGAGGCAACGCAACTGGACTGAATGTTGCGGGCCATGTTGACCTGGTTGGTCTGGGGTATGGCACTGTTCTCCCTTTTCTCATTCCGCAAAGGACACTCAGGGTCACGATGCCAGTGACCACGCCGCTTGCAGGCACTGCAAAAAGAACGTGCCTTCGCCGCCTTCAATCTCTCTTCGTTGCGTCTTTTGACTTCCTCCAGATCCACGCCGCGGCCTTTGAGGGCCTCTCTGTACTTGGCTTTTGCACCTTGGTACGCCATGTAGGCGGTATGAGCCGCCTCGGCCACATCCTCCTCCACCAAGTTTCGATCATCGTCATCTTCATTGGGCTCATCATCACTTGACCAAACCTCCTCATCGTGCGTGGTCATGTGGACAGACTGCTTTCCCCACTTGTTCTGCCAGCGGGGCCTGCCCCCGCTGCTGTCACCACTGCCGCCTCCATGTCGTAGAGAACGATCCTGGATCATAGCAGCCTGTTGGAGCTTCCTGACATCATATTCATTCCCAACGCTGGCCAAAAGGGCTAGCTCTTCAGGTTCTGAAAGCCGCAGTTTGTCCACGTACAGCCATGCCTTCACCAGAGGAGGTAGTTCACAACGAACTTCTCGAAGCCTGAGCACCATGCGCTCGAACTCGACATTGAACTCCCTGACGGATTGCTCTGGCCTCCGCTTGCATTTCCGGAAGAGGTCGTTCATCATCTGAGAGATCTTCGTCATCTCGACCTCCATGAACCTGGTCTGAATCCATTCCAGGTAGTAGGACACTCCGTTCTCCGACGCCAAGATGTCCATGTCGAGTTCTTCGGCATAGGCCCAAGCCCGGTCTGTCAACGAGTTGTAGAGCGCCAAAGCTCTCTGGGCTGGTGGCATTCTTGTGCAACGTAGCCACACCTGAACCTTTCTCACATAGCTCCGAGCTGACTTTCCGACCTCTTGCTCATTGCCTTCGCCACTGAACTCTGGGATCGGGACCTTCTCGTTGGTCTTGACCTCGCGACTCGCCCAACGTTCATCGCTCCACTCGCCATCAGCATAGGGGAAGGCAGCCTCGTCATAGGAGCCAGCCCAACGGCCGTTGTTCATTGCCGTAGTGAACCTCACATCGGCCACATTGAAGCTGCGCATCTGGTGGTCAGAAAGCCATCCGGCATTCTGTGCTCTGTCCCAACCTGAGTCTTGCCAACCTGAACGGCGGGAATCACTACCATACTGATTCCACCAGTCAGAGTCGTCCCAACCTGAACTATTGGACCTGATGGGACCTGCACCATACTGCTGTTGTTGTTCACTGCTACCGCTACTTCTCGCATTCCACACAGCCCATGAGTCTATTGGCACTGCTTCATCTTCATTTTCTACATCTTCGGTACCAGTAGAATTTTGGACTTCTAAAGGAGAGGCTTGAGACTGTCCATGACCCTCGGGACTGTTCACAGTCCCTTCGCTAGATTGCCCCCCGCTCTCCTGCGGTCCTCTATTCACTGGTGCCCATGACCTCCTGGTCGCCATAGATCGGAACCAGCCGCTCCGCGACACCAATCTCGATGTGCAAGTTCAAACACGTGCAAGCAACTGCATGGCACCGCTACCTTTTCACGCATGACTGGGGACCCTTGTGCCTGAAAGGGTCGACAAGCATTCGAATCAATCCATGCCGGTTGTTGTTGGCATGACAAATGAAAACATGTGCAATGAGGACATGCAGTGCATTCACAATGGTTAATCGTCATGTTCTCTTGTTTTAGATGGCCTTTCTGAGGGAATTAGTTGACGAATCCCCAAAAAAATCAGAGCCATATTTCACCAACCAACTACTGGGTCAGATACCTTCGGGCCATGGCCGTTGGACCCCCAGTTCCCCCACACCTTCTGAGCCAAGGCTTGCAGCGTCCGCATGATGCCACCTCCTTTGGAGGAGAAGCTGCCACCTGTGTAGACCGCCTCGCCAGAGAGGTTTTGTTGGGAAAATCCTAACCGGAAACCATGGTTTTTACCATCAAATCTAGGGTTTTCTTGTAAATTTTCCCGTAAACCACAATAAATAATATATAATACATATATAAATATATACCATGAAACAGAGGGGGTTCCTGCAAATTTTCCCTCGAACCAATCCAATGCTCGATGGAAAATTCATGGATAGTGATCATCGATGGACATTGATATTTTGTTGATTGAAAATCAGATAAATTACCCTCTGGTAAACTAACATAGCTATGGAAAATCACCATTTTTAATGGGAAAACTCACTATAAATGGCCATTTTCAGGTAAATTACCTGCCAAACCTGGGAAGTGAAATTCCAAACCCACAGAGTTCCACCAGAGTTCCACTGGAGATGAATCCCAAACCCCAGAAGCCACCAATGTATGTTGGGCCGCCTAAATTCTGAACTATGATTTTTTGTAAAACTAATCTTCCTGAATTCTTGGGATGGCACCCCATGAAAAAAAAAATGTTGATTCAAGTGAAGACATGGAATCCCTTATTCGGTGTCTCATGGTTTGTCTCCAAAAGAAAATTGCCATTGAGTGGATGATATCGCCGTCAAAAGAGACAAACTCAGTACCGCCGACAAAGCAGACATATCACCTTCGCACTGGTGTAGTCGTTTGCCTTAAGATGGTCCTGCGATGAAGCCAGAAAAACATCAGCTGAAGCGACAAACTCAACAGACTCGGACATTTTACAAAACTACCATGAGATCTCGAAGTATTCAGCCAATCTGTTGAATCTTGACGAATGTTTGGGTTCAAGTTAGTCCGTACTGGCTGTGGAACAGTGGAACCCTCAAGATCCAGTTCCGGTGAAAGTTGAATTGCCGCAGTAAATGTTTGGAACTTCCCCGAAGAAACCTCCGCATAAAATATTCCCATGATCGAAAAAAAAAAATCATCGAGTTTTGTACAATATTTCTGGTGCCAAGGAAATGATTAGCCAGGTAGACCCAGAAATGTTGCCACTTCAGGTTCCTAACCATCCCGATTTGGAGTAGATGAATGGCTTTAGCCGTTTATCCCATGGCCAATGGATGGTTTACCAACCGCCAATGCCCGTTTCGGAGCACCGAGATCAGAACGGGTTCCTTGATGAGTTTCACATCTCGGTTGATATCAGCGTGCTCCGTGACATCATTCACTGGGCAATAAAGCCTCGAGAATCTGCAAGGGACGCAACTCTTTACTGAATAAGCCCAGAAAAAAAAAAAAACATAGGATCCATGTATGGTATATATGGTAACATTTACCATCAATATACCCCCAATGTTAGTATATATACCATACATGGATCCTATGGGAAATGACAAACCACAACTACTTATAGACACTGTATTTTTCTACCTTTCAACGGGGTTTTCTTGAAATTGTTGATATCTTCTGAGGCCTCAACCTTGCAACCACAACCAACATGAAATAAGATGAAATAAGACATGTTGGGTGGATGTGGGGGTATACCCAATTTTCATACATTTTTTTGTATATTGATGTCAGTCAACTTTCTGACAAGATTCCGAATACATCGGAACAATAAGTCAAACATTGGGTATAGAATCAAAGCAAAATGTAACGAGGACGCATGAAATCATAAAGTGTGAAAGGACGGGTTCGCTATTCCCCAAAAATGCATTCAATGGGGATGTCAAGGCCAACAACAAAATACATTGACTGTGCAAACATTTGGTTTGAAATAGTATGGTCTCAAATGACTGTAGAATCGACAGGGTATTGGTATTCCGAAAATAGGGTGGTGAATATTGATGAATAATCTTATTGACCAATGGTATCCCGCACCGGGTGGATGATTTTCGAATGGCCCTTTGTCAATCACTGAATCACTCAGCTGTTCAAACTACTCGATGGAATGACGAAGTGTCATCATAGGGTTGGCGTTGGTTTGTTCAAAAGCATCACCTTTTGGTTGGAACCACGACTTGACAACCAAGAAATGGCAGTTAAAAATTTCCAAAACGGTGAAATACGTTGGCATAACATACATAACATACATAACATACATAACATTACATTACATTACATTACATACCATACCATACCATACCATACCATACCATACCATACCATACCAGTCATTTCCCCAACTTCGAATTCGTCCCTCATCTAATTCTGGTCGCAGCCTTGGAACCCATCGGAAAGTTTCGGACACGAATCCACCGGCGTGCACGCCCCACCGGAGGCTGAAGCGAAGCAAGTCGCCACGAGCACGATTCGTAGAGACGGCATGGCAACCACAACTACCTGGACCAGATGTCCGTCTGTGCAAATCAAGCTGAAGCGCAAACTGCAGTGCAAATCGGTCAAGAAAATGTTGCATTCAAGGAAATTGGGTTCAATGGTTCAAATTGGATTGTCTGTTCAAGCATGAATGTCAATTTGTTATGTTTGCAAAAAAATGTTTTGCGTTTGGTTTTTTTGGGAGATCATACTCAATGGTCGCAAACATGTTGTGTTTACCCAGTTGGCCATTTTGAAATCACGTTATTTGCCTGTCCAACATAAACACGGACAAAATTAACAAATTCATTGCATTGCAAAAATAACACGTATTTTGTTCATGTGCGTTTTGGACGAAATCAAAAACCACGCGAAACAATATTGCCCAAACAACTGAGTTCTCCAATTTCGGTTGAAAGAACCGGTCTGTGGCTGCACATTTCGCGTGCGCACGTTCGCGCCAAAAAAGGAAACCATTTTGATTGCGTTTCAGAAGTCTGAAACTCGCACCGTTTTTTTTGGCGCATCCTGATAAATTTTGAAGATATGCACGTTGGTGTGTGACAGGTCCAAGCGACATGCATGCTGCCCCAAAAAAACGTAGCTCGTGTTGGTTTGAGGTTTGCAAGGGAGGCCTGGTGACTTGGACCTGATATCAGTTATATATCGGGTATAACCTCCAAGTAGAATAGGGTCCAGGATGCTGAAAGCCTCAGACTTTTGCATGATTTTGCGTTATGCCAAATAAGCCTTGGAATCGGCTTGGTTACCAACTAGAAAGAGGGGGGGCCACTGGTCAAGATTGGAACCATTCCAATTGATCGGAAAGCGTGAAGGAATCTCGGGTCAAAATGATTCTTCCAAAGAGCGCCATTGACCCTCCTGGATAGTTAAAGACCCACAAATACCCAGATTGCTACGGCGCCGCAGCTTCTTGGCCATCCGAGTTCAACCAGTCATGTGGCGCTGCCAATTCCGCGGACTTTTTCAGCATGAAAGGATCAGTGCATCCCCATTCGTTGTGGATGTTCCTGCCTTTACAACTCTAGAACTTTCATGATTTGACGAGAGCCACAGGGATGAAGTGACCAGCGTACCTTAGTGACCTGACCTTGATCAATACACACCTGCAGTTCACTTGGTCCATGTCAATCAGGAAAGCCCGATTAAAACTCGACTCGCTGGCTGGCAGGCACCTATACAAATCTCGAGCGGCGCAGACTTTATATAACGATAAGTTAGGATAACAGATCTGATTCTTCTCATCAAATAGAAACATTCAGCCTTCCTGCCGCTCCTCCGGAGGTTCATATGGAGGGCTATTTCAACCCACGCCATGTCAAGAAAATACGGGGATTCAAAAACAATAAAAAAAACATTAATTGCAAGTGTGATCAGTCAGACTTTTCAGACTTTCTCCGAAATCCAAGGAGCCCCTTCAAGTGACTGGATGGCTGCATCGCTGATTCTTGACTCCATTTCAGTGCGTCTGAAAATGAGGTACATCCTGGATGATTCACGAGTGGATTTTAGAGGTCTACCCCATTGTTGGACAAGCCCATTTTCAAGGGTCCCAAATTGCTTGGCATGTTGGCAGCAAGGCCATTCGGTCGAATGATGGTTTCAAAACATCGCCGAGCTCCATCAAGGGGACGAGGCAACTCTGAATTCTGTACCGGTTGGTGGGGAACAAGAGCCAACTATCTCACTTGAACTCTGTAGACCGAGTGCTAATCTTTCAATCAGAAGACCATGTCGAATCATCAGAAATAGCTGAAACATGCTCACCTACCAACCAGTACTGTACTTAGAAAAAGATCGCCAAGATTGACAGGGGCATTGCCGCTGCCACGCTGGCGGTAAAGCCGCTGTTTTCCATCTCCGACTCCGAAGTGCTCGGGATGGCCTTGCCTCAGCGTTCAGAGTGACTAGTGACAGTGACTAGTGAAGATCTACCAAGGAAACTCTGGTTATAGCTGGAGCAGCTGGATGGTGATTCCCCCATGGTGAGTTCACAGGCAACTTGACCCATCACATCATCTAACGATCACCGATCACCAGGCCACACATGTCCACCCAGGCGGTGGAGGAGTCGCCCAAGGTGGCGCTGTTCCCCGTATCGTCACAGGCGGTGGCCAGGCAATGGCCGGAAATCTCTCTGACGTCCTTCCAGGTGCCCACCATGGCCTGCGGTGATTTCCATGGCGGTTTTGAATGGTGACACCAATGGTTGGGGATGGTTGGGGTGTTCCCCTCACATTGTCAGATAAACCCACTTTAGATACCTTTAGATCATCGGTGGGGATCAAAAACGCTGGGTTGAGTCTGTTTTTCACATCAAAAGAAGTGGCAGTTGTGGATGTCTATGCCAATACCCATCATCGTATTGTCATCAAAGGTTCCCAAAATGTCTACAGAGAAACATCCAACTTGTTGACAATAATTGGCATAATGTGCAGGTACCACTACTTTGATTTGCATCCCGGGTAGAAAGCGGCTCATACGCATGGAGGTATAATTTGCTTACATATATGCATTGCATAGATTTAGATGTATATATATATAGATGCATGTATGTATATATGCATACATAATATATATATATATATGCATATTATGTGTACATATATATATGCATATTATGTGTACATATATATATATATATGGTATGTCCCCACTTATTTACAAACAAAGGTGTATGTATGTTCATAAAACATTTCATACATCATTATTATCAACCACCTGTTCAATGGAGTGCACATCAATAGCAACAGTATAGCACAGTAGAGAACAGTGGGAAACGAGAGAGACCACTAGAAATAACAAGAGCAATGCAGCAAATAAGTAGAAGAGAGAGTAGTAAGTAGAGAAAGAGTAGCCAACTGCAGAGAACAATAGATGGCGCAGATGCTACAATTTATGGCCCTCAATGTAATTCCGCCATGCCCCTTGAGTTTGTGACATCTTCCTACCGTAGATGGACGAAAAGATCAAACCCTATCGTACAAAGTTCGGCTCCCACCCTAAATTTCAATGTGGCGTTTTGGCTGCGTGGTTGGGAGCGGTGAACAAGAATATCAAACCTTCAACACAAACCAATGTATCCGATCATGTCCAACATTGAAATTGACGGTCTGGGGTTGTTCTTATAGTTGGCCCCTTCAGGGTTTGATTTCTTTGTCCATCTACTGTAGCCTGATTCGCTTAGACTCTGGCAAAGAAGCATAGCTGGCCAGTAAAAAAACACCCAACAATTTAATTAGCAGATTTCCCTGTGCAAATCGTGTTTTCGCATTGCCAGGTTGGAATTTCCCAGAGGCGAGGAATCTGACACCAAGCAACGCAAGTGATGCCCAGGTCTGGGTACATCGGTTCCAGCAAGCTCTTGATCGTACAATCTGTATCAGCAGGCATATCCGTCAAAGATAGATCAAACAACGCATCGACCTGCGCGTATCGACTTGGAACTTTCTGTTTCAAGCAACTGCATCGTTTCTGCCCAAAAAAAAGACACACACTGGCAACCCCAACAGAGGGGGTTGGAAGAGGATGTTCTTTGTTTTTTCAAAGTTCCACCTTCAATTTTCAAGGTGTACTTTGAGGAAGGTTCCGGCCTGCTGCACAATTGTCTTGTTCACCGTTGATATGTACCTGGACAATGGCGGCAGAGCCTCTGTCTCGCAGCCCGAGGTTTCTGGGGTATTTTCTCCTGTGGATTTTGCCAGTCACTTTATAAGCAGGTCAGCAGCAGGAGCCTTTCTTTGCAGTACAAAGTATACACAAGTCAATTGGTAAAAGATGTGAGGCAATATGCGATAATCACAGATTTACCCCGACATGTGGCCGAAAATTCATGAAAATTCACCATCTACAAACAGCCAAATCCAGCCCAAAAAACTCCAAATCTCAAAAACTCCGAGGTGCCCAGAGGCGCTTCGCCAATAGGCCCAACCTTCTGCCAGGTATTTCTCCTGAAACGTCCCGTTGTTATAAGCCTTATTGGCATACTTCAAGGCGCTTCGGATGGCCGCAATGGAGTAGATCTTATACATCGCCAGCTGTGCACTCGCCACATTGGCTGCATTGTAGGTGCCACGCACGTTGAGCAAACCAAAGTTCAAGGTGGGTGGAGCCGCTGCATGGGTTGATAGACCATCATCAAAGTCGTCATCACGCTTCCAGTTGAACCTGCAAAAAATGACTGACATCACTGCAACAAATGTCGCTTAGCCATAAGGTACCTCCAAATCCATGAAATTATCCTTCACGTAATCAAATATAAATCAGCTCAGAACATGTTGGGACCCGATTTCACTCAAAGGAAGTATTACATTTTGTTTGCGCCGAAATGGGGCTGTTTGAACTTCTATTGACCAAATCGCCTAAATCATGAAATCGATTTCCCAAGTCTCATCACCGTCCCCTCTCCAAGCAGCTCATAGGGAGAGTAGAGGTTTCCAGGGGCTTTCCCCGTGTACCCATCTCCAATCACAGGCTCGATGTTGCCAATGTGGAAGGCAGCCCCTTCATCCCAGGCGTAAGCCGCCTGGACGGGGACTGTAATGAGAAATTCCATGGGATATATAACTCGTTGTCACCAACAATAAATATGTATCTAGTCTAATATGTATCTATATATTCTCTTCAAGATGGTGGATTTACATGCCTTGCACCTAGTGTAGCCATGAAAGCATGGGGGAATGATCATGAACTACTGGATTTTGGGCTACCATCACTAAATGAAACCCACCTCGTCATCAGCGGTCATGTTTTCTCTAGCTTTCCAAACAGCTGCCCCAAATTCATAGGTCGCGTAGGCCGTCACCACTCCGATGAGACACTTGTTGATGATGTATGACTTGAAGTCATGTGACTTGCCTGGGCAATTGTGATCCCAGCCACAGTTGAGTAAACTTGAAACAGTGGCACTCTTAAAACCAATCGTTTCACTTCCAGTGATCCCCAAACTCCCAACAAGCTTTCGACAAATGAGTTGAAGTGCCTATTAACATATCCTGTCCTGCCATGCGCCAATACCGTTCTCGCAGTCAAATAACCGCCCTGGACCCGATGTATTTTGTGTGCATACAGTGTCTATACATAACAAATTGATCTACAACTACCAGGACACATGTCAGTCCATGTGTTGCAGTACACGCACATCCGTCCCCTGTTCGGTCCACATTGTGACAGGTGGCCTGCGCAAAAACCGGTATCGTCCAGGCAGGCGATGATGTAGTTGTGCCAAATTCCATCAATGGATCCGTAGAGATCCAACGCTCCCGAGAAGAAGACATTGGTGTATTTGCCATTGACCGTCATGTCCTGCCAAAAAGGTCGAATTGGACAAGATGCACAAGATATTCTGGAAAATGCAAAACATGCCTGAAAATTCACATTTCAGATGATTTGTCTTCTCGCATTGTCAAAGTTCAAACTACATCCGGATGAGTTTACGCACTGGCATCTGTTAGCATCAATGGACTTAGTGACTTGTCATCAGGATGAGCACATGGGGCCAACATGGGCCAACACAAACAGACTCGACATCCACCAGCATCAGAGGGGATAACTCGCGACCAAAAGGCTGGATGTTCTCAACATGAGGCAAGGACAAACAAAAGCTGCGGTTCACTTTGGAAACGAAAAATCTATAGGAGGACCCTCAGTAGGTCCGAAATCCTCCTGTGATGATGGGGACTTTCCACCGAAACGTGTCTAGAACAGGGCTATAGTGGATAGTGGTCCTCAACTCTCATCTAGGTGATGTGTCCATAAACCCCATTAGATTGCCAAAATCCCCACCATATCTATACAATTGGCAAATCCTTGAGGTTGTGAGTGAGTACCTCAAATTTTCATAGTTAATCATGGTTAATCGTCATGTTCTCTTGTTTTAGATGGCCTTTCTGAGGGAATTAGTTGACGAATCCCCCAAAAAATCAGAGCCATATTTCACCAACCAACTACTGGGTCAGATACCTTCGGGCCATGGCCCGAAGGTAACCCCCAGTTCCCCCACACCTTCTGAGCCAAGGCTTGCAGCGTCCGCATGATGCCACCTCCTTTGGAGGAGAAGCTGCCACCTGTGTAGACCGCCTCGCCAGAGAGGTTTTGTTGGGAAAATCCTAACCGGAAACCATGGGTTTTTACCATCAAATCTAGGGTTTTCTTGTAAATTTTCCCGTAAACCACAATAAATAATATATACATATATAAATATATACCATGAAACAGAGGGGGTTCCTGCAAATTTTCCCTCGAACCAATCCAATGTTCGATGGAAAAAATGGATAGTGATCATCGATGGACATTGATATTTTGTTGATTGAAAATCAGATAAATTACCTGCCAAACCTGGGAAGTGAAATTCCAAACCAACAGAGTTCCACCAGAGTTCCTCTGGACATGGATCCCAAACCCCAGAAGCTGAAAATGTATGTTGGGCCGCCTAAATTCTGAACTATGATTTTGTAAAAATCATCTTCCTGAATTCTTGGGATGGCATCCCATGAAAAAAACATGTCTATATTTGTCTTCACATGGAATCCCTTATTCGGTGTCTCATGGTTTGTCTCCAAAAGAAAATTGCCATCACCTTCGCACTGGTGTAGTCGTTTGCCTTAAGATGGTCCTGCGCTGCCATTGAGAAAAACTGAAGCGCTGAAGCGACAAACTCAACAGACTCGGACATTTTACAAAACTACCATGAGATCTCGAAGTATTCAGCCAATCTGTTGAATCTTGACGAATGTTTGGGTTCAAGTTAGTCCGTACTGGCTGTGGAACCCTCAAGATCCAGTTCCGGTGAAAGTTGAATTGCCGCAGTAAATGTTTGGAACTTCCCCGAAGAAACCTCCGCATAAAATATTCCCATGATCGAAAAAAAAAATCATCGAGCTTTGTACAATATTTCTGGTGCCAAGGAAATGATTAGCCAAAGACCTGCGATATCGAAGGCGTTTCCCCATGTGGTAAAGTGGTGAACCATGGTCCCAGAAATGTTGCCACTTCAGGTTCCTAACCATCCCGATTTGGAGTAGATTAATGGCTTTAGCCCATGGCCAATGGATGGTTTACCAACCGCCAATGCCCGTTTCGGAGCACCGAGATCAGAACGGGTTCCTTGATGAGTTTCACATCTCGGTTGATATCAGCGTGCTCCGTGACATCATTCACTGGGCAATAAAGCCTCGAGAATCTGCAAGGGACGCAACTCTTTACTGAATAAGCCCAGAAAAAAAAAAAAAAACATAGGATCCATGTATGGTATATATGGTAACATTTACCATCAATATACCCCCAATGCTAGTATATATACCATACATGGATCCTATGGGAAATGACAAACCACAACTACTTATAGACACTGTATGTTTCTACCTTTCAACGGGGTTTTCTTGAAATTGTTGATATCTTCTGAGGCCTCAACCTTGCAACCACAACCAACATGAAATAAGATGAAATAAGACATGTTGGGTGGATGTGGGGGTATACCCAATTTTCATACATTTTTTTGTATATTGATGTCAGTCAACTTTCTGACAAGATTCCGAATACATCGGAACAATAAGTCAAACATTGGGTATAGAATCAAAGCAAAATGTAACGAGGACGCATGAAATCATAAAGTGTGAAAGGACGGGTTCGCTATTCCCCAAAAATGCATTCAATGGGGATGTCAAGGCCAACAACAAAATACATTGACTGTGCAAACATTTGGTTTGAAATAGTATGGTCTCAAATGACTGTAGAATCGACAGGTATTGGTATTCCGAAAATAGGGTGGTGAATATTGATGAATAATCTTATTGACCGATGGTATCCCGCACCGGGTGGATGATTTTCGAATGGCCCTTTGTCAATCACTGAATCACTCAGCTGTTCAAACTACTCGATGGAATGACGAAGTGTCATCATAGGGTTGGCGTTGGTTTGTTCAAAAGCATCACCTTTTGGTTGGAACCACGACTTGACAACCAAGAAATGGCAGTTAAAATTTTCCAAAACGGTGAAATACGTTGGCATAACATACATAACATACATAACATACATAACATTACATTACATTACATTACATTACATACCATACCATACCATACCATACCAGTCATTTCCCCAACTTCGAATTCGTCCCTCATCTAATTCTGGTCGCAGCCTTGGAACCCATCGGAAAGTTTCGGACACGAATCCACCGGCGTGCACGCCCCACCGGAGGCTGAAGCGAAGCAAGTCGCCACGAGCACGATTCGTAGAGACGGCATGGCAACCACAACTACCTGGACCAGATGTCCGTCTGTGCAAATCAAGCTGAAGCGCAAACTGCAGTGCAAATCGGTCAAGAAAATGTTACATTCAAGGAAATTGGGTTCAATGGTTCAAATTGGATTGTCTGTTCAAGCATGAATGTCAATTTGTTATGTTTGCAAAAAAATGTTTTGCGTTTGGTTTTTTGGGGGGATCATACTCAATGGTCGCAAACATGTTGTGTTTACCCAGTTGGCCATTTTGAAATCACGTTTGCCTGTCCAACATAAACACGGACAAAATTAACAAATTCATTGCATTGCAAAAATAACACGTATTTTGTTCATGTGCGTTTTGGACGAAATCAAAAACCACGCGAAACAATATTGCCCAAACAACTGAGTTCTCCAATTTCGGTTGAAAGAACCGGTCTGTGGCTGCACATTTCGCGTGCGCACGTTCGCGCCAAAAAAGGAAACCATTTTGATTGCGTTTCAGAAGTCTGAAACTCGCACCGTTTTTTTTGGCGCATCCTGATAAATTTTGAAGATATGCACGTTGGTGTGTGACAGGTCCAAGCGACATGCATGCTGCCCCAAAAAAACGTAGCTCGTGTTGGTTTGAGGTTTGCAAGGGAGGCCTGGTGACTTGGACCTGATATCAGTTATATATCGGGTATAACCTCCAAGTAGAATAGGGTCCAGGATGCTGAAAGCCTCAGACTTTTGCATGATTTTGCGTTATGCCAAATAAGCCTTGGAATCGGCTTGGTTACCAACTAGAAAGAGGGGGGCCACTGGTCAAGATTGGAACCATTCCAATTGATCGGAAAGCGTGAAGGAATCTCGGGTCAAAATGATTCTTCCAAAGAGCGCCATTGACCCTCCTGGATAGTTAAAGACCCACAAATACCCAGATTGCTACGGCGCCGCAGCTTCTTGGCCATCCGAGTTCAACCAGTCATGTGGCGCTGCCAATTCCGCGGACTTTTTCAGCATGAAAGGATCAGTGCATCCCCATTCGTTGTGGATGTTCCTGCCTTTACAACTCTAAAACTTTCATGATTTGACGAGAGCCACAGGGATGAAGTGACCAGCGTACCTTAGTGACCTGACCTTGATCAATACACACCTGCCGTTCACTTGGTCCATGTCAATCAGGAAAGCCCGATTAAAACTCGACTCGCTGGCTGGCAGGCACCTATACAAATCTCGAGCGGCGCAGACTTTATATAACGATAAGTTAGGATAACAGATCTGATTCTTCTCATCAAATAGAAACATTCAGCCTTCCTGCCGCTCCTCCGGAGGTTCATATGGTGGGCTATTTCAACCCACGCCATGTCAAGAAAATACGGGGATTCAAAAACAATAAAAAAAAACATTAATTGCAAGTGTGATCAGTCAGACTTTTCAGACTTTCTCCGAAATCCAAGGAGCCCCTTCAAGTGACTGGATGGCTGCATCGCTGATTCTTGACTCCATTTCAGTGCGTCTGAAAATGAGGTACATCCTGGATGATTCACGAGTGGATTTTAGAGGTCTACCCCATTGTTGGACAAGCCCATTTTCAAGGGTCCCAAATTGCTTGGCATGTTGGCAGCAAGGCCATTCGGTCGAATGATGGTTTCAAAACATCGCCGAGCTCCATCAAGGGGACGAGGCAACTCTGAATTCTGTACCGGTTTGTGGGGAACAAGAGCCAACTATCTCACTTGAACTCTGTAGACCGAGTGCTAATCTTTCAATCAGAAGACCATGTCGAATCATCAGAAATAGCTGAAACATGCTCACCTACCAACCAGTACTGTACTTAGAAAAAGATCGCCAAGATTGACAGGGGCATTGCCGCTGCCACGCTGGCGGTAAAGCCGCTGTTTTCCATCTCCGACTCCGAAGTGCTCGGGATGGCCTTGCCTCAGCGTTCAGAGTGACTAGTGACAGTGACTAGTGAAGATCTACCAAGGAAACTCTGGTTATAGCTGGAGCAGCTGGATGGTGATTCCCCCATGGTGAGTTCACAGGCAACTTGACCCATCACATCATCTAACGATCACCGATCACCAGGCCACACATGTCCACCCAGGCGGTGGAGGAGTCGCCCAAGGTGGCGCTGTTCCCCGTATCGTCACAGGCGGTGGCCAGGCAATGGCCGGAAATCTCTCTGACGTCCTTCCAGGTGCCCACCATGGCCTGCGGTGATTTCCATGGCGGTTTTGAATGGTGACACCAATGGTTGGGGATGGTTGGGGTGTTCCCCTCACATTGTCAGATAAACCCACTTTAGATACCTTTAGATCATCGGTGGGGATCAAAAACGCTGGGTTGAGTCTGTTTTTCACATCAAAAGAAGTGGCAGTTGTGGATGTCTATGCCAATACCCATCATCGTATTGTCATCAAAGGTTCCCAAAATGTCTACAGAGAAACATCCAACTTGTTGACAATAATTGGCATAATGTGCAGGTACCACTACTTTGATTTGCATCCCGGGTAGAAAGCGGCTCATACGCATGGAGGTATAATTTGCTTACATATATGCGTTGCATAGATTTAGATATATATATATATATGCATGTATGTATATATGCATACATAATATATATATATATATGCATATTATGTGTACATATATATATGCATATTATGTGTACATATATATATATATATGGTATGTCCCCACTTATGTACAAACAAAGGTGTATGTATGTTCATAAAACATTTCATACATCATTATTATCAACCACCTGTTCAATGGAGTGCACATCAATAGCAACAGTATAGCACAGTAGAGAACAGTGGGAAACGAGAGAGACCAGTAGAAATAACAAGAGCAATGCAGCAAATAAGTAGAAGAGAGAGTAGTAAGTAGAGAAAGAGTAGCCAACTGCAGAGAACAATAGATGGCGCAGATGCTACAATTTATGGCCCTCAATGTAATTCCGCCATGCCCCTTGAGTTTGTGACATCTTCCTACCGTAGATGGACGAAAAGATCAAACCCTATCGTACAAAGTTCGGCTCCCACCCTAAATTTCAATGTGGCGTTTTGGCTGCGTGGTTGGGAGCGGTGAACAAGAATATCAAACCTTCAACACAAACCAATGTATCCGATCATGTCCAACATTGAAATTGACAGTCTGGGGTTGTTCTTATAGTTGGCCCCTTCAGGGTTTGATTTCTTTGTCCATCTACTGTAGCCTGATTCGCTTAGACTCTGGCAAAGAAGCATAGCTGGCCAGTAAAAAAACACCCAACAATTTAATTAGCAGATTTCCCTGTGCAAATCGTGTTTTCGCATTGCCAGGTTGGAATTTCCCAGAGGCGAGGAATCTGACACCAAGCAACGCAAGTGATGCCCAGGTCTGGGTACATCGGTTCCAGCAAGCTCTTGATCGTACAATCTGTATCAGCAGGCATATCCGTCAAAGATAGATCAAACAACGCATCGACCTGCGCGTATCGACTTGGAACTTTCTGTTTCAAGCAACTGCATCGTTTCTGCCCAAAAAAAAGACACACACTGGCAACCCCAACAGAGGGGGTTGGAAGAGGATGTTCTTTGTTTTTTCAAAGTTCCACCTTCAATTTTCAAGGTGTACTTTGAGGAAGGTTCCGGCCTGCTGCACAATTGTCTTGTTCACCGTTGATATGTACCTGGACAATGGCGGCAGAGCCTCTGTCTCGCAGCCCGAGGTTTCTGGGGTATTTTCTCCTGTGGATTTTGCCAGTCACTTTATAAGCAGGTCAGCAGCAGGAGCCTTTCTTTGCAGTACAAAGTATACACAAGTCAATTGGTAAAAGATGTGAGGCAATATGCGATATTCACAGATTTACCCCGACATGTGGCCGAAAATTCATGAAAATTCACCATCTACAAACAGCCAAATCCAGCCCAAAAAACTCCAAATCTCAAAAACTCCGAGGTGCCCAGAGGCGCTTCGCCAATAGGCCCAACCTTCTGCCAGGTATTTCTCCTGAAACGTCCCGTTGTTATAAGCCTTATTGGCATACTTCAAGGCGCTTCGGATGGCCGCAATGGAGTAGATCTTATACATCGCCAGCTGTGCACTCGCCACATTGGCTGCATTGTAGGTGCCACGCACGTTGAGCAAACCAAAGTTCAAGGTGGGTGGAGCCGCTGCATGGGTTGATAGACCATCATCAAAGTCGTCATCACGCTTCCAGTTGAACCTGCAAAAAATGACTGACACCACTGCAACAAATGTCGCTTAGCCATAAGGTACCTCCAAATCCATGAAATTATCCTTCACGTAATCAAATATAAATCAGCTCAGAACATGTTGGGACCCGATTTCACTCAAAGGAAGTATTACATTTTGTTTGCGCCGAAATGGGGCTGTTTGAACTTCTATTGACCAAATCGCCTAAATCATGAAATCGATTTCCCAAGTCTCATCACCGTCCCCTCTCCAAGCAGCTCATAGGGAGAGTAGAGGTTTCCAGGGGCTTTCCCCGTGTACCCATCTCCAATCACAGGCTCGATGTTGCCAATGTGGAAGGCAGCCCCTTCATCCCAGGCGTAAGCCGCCTGGACGGGGACTGTAATGAGAAATTCCATGGGATATATAACTCGTTGTCACCAACAATAAATATGTATCTAGTCTAATATGTATCTATATATTCTCTTCAAGATGGTGGATTTACATGCCTTGCACCTAGTGTAGCCATGAAAGCATGGGGGAATGATCATGAACTACTGGATTTTGGGCTACCATCACTAAATGAAACCCACCTCGTCATCAGCGGTCATGTTTTCTCCAGCTTTCCAAACAGCTGCCCCCAATTCATAGGTCGCGTAGGCCGTCACCACTCCGATGAGACACTTGTTGATGATGTATGACTTGAAGTCATGTGACTTGCCTGGGCAATTGTGATCCCAGCCACAGTTGAGTACACTTGAAACAGTGGCACTCTTAAAACCAATCGTTTCACTTCCAGTGATCCCCAAACTCCCAACAAGCTTTCGACAAATGAGTTGAAGTGCCTATTAACATATCCTGTCCTGCCATGCGCCAATACCGTTCTCGCAGTCAAATAACCGCC